CGCTTTGCACTTGGTAGTACCTGCTGGTCCCCGCAGGGCCACCGAATGTGCCGTTCCCCGTCCCCTGCAAGGGACAGAGTCCCTTGGACTGCAAGGCGATCCAACCAGTCCATGCTAGAGGAAATCCGTCTGAATATTCATTGGAAGGACTGATGCTGACTCCAATTCTTTGGCCACCTGATGCGAAAAACTGACTCATTGGAAAAGACCCTGATACTGGGAAAGATTGAAGGCAGGAGGAGAAGGGGACGACAGGATGAGATGGCTGGATGGCATCACTAACTCGATGGACATGAGTTTGAGTAAACTCCGGCAGCTGACGTTGGGCAGGGAAACCTGGCGTGCTGCAGTCCATGGGGTCGCAGAGTCTGACACGACTGAGCGACTGAACTGACTGCCCCCTGCAGCTGGGGAAACGGAGTCAGAGATGTGGACTTAAAGCGGGGATACAGGCGAGATCCCAGATTGGGCAGTCTGACCCCCAGAGCCATCCTGCCACTCAGCGAACCTAGGTGGAGCAGTGGCCAGCCAGGAAGCCTGGGACGGATGGAATTGACCAGACTGTGGGAGGCAGTGCTGTGAAAAGTACAGCTAAATCGTCACACTTTGTGACAGCTCCGAGGGCGTAGCTGGGTGGGAGAGAAGCAAGACAAGGCCGTGGGGTTGGGGCCAGCTGGCACCTCTCAGCCCCACCATCCCAGATTCACAGCAGGTGGGCTAGAGCCGGGTTGTCTCCCAGGTGTGTGGAGTTAAAGCACTTTAGGAGGGGAACAGTAGGATGGTACCTGGAACACAGGCGTCTCACCTGCTCAGGCTGCCATAGGCTGGGAGGCCTGAACAGAGAACTTCTCTCTCCCAGGTCTAGAGGCTGGGAAGTCCAAGGCCCCCAGTCCTATAGGGGTCAGGACCCCACTATTAGGACTCCGTGTGATCCTAATTACCTCCTTCACTTAATGTTAAAATGTTAGTCGCTCAGTGGCGTCCGATTCTTTGCAACTGCATGACCTGTAAGTCCACCAGGCTCCTCTATCCATGGGATCTCCCACTCAAGAATACTGGAATGGGCTGCCATTTCCTTCTCCACATTTAATATTAATGACTCCCTAAAAGCTCTTTCTCCTGATACAGCCTCATGATGAGGGTTAGGGCTTTTAACACATGAATTTGGGGTAGGGGGAATACCATCAGTCTGTAGCAAGTTTGTACCCAGGTAAATAAGTGATCATCAAAGACTGAAGTAAATGAGCGCTTTGAGGACTTGTGTGCACCCTGACGCTGGGAAAGATTGAGGGCAGGAGGGGAAGGGGACGACAGAGGATGAGATGGCTGGATGGCATCACCGACTCAATGGACATGAATTTGAGTTAACTCCGGGAGTTGGTGATGGACAGGGAGGCCTGGTGTGCTGCAGCCCGTGGGGTCGCAGAGAGTCGGACACGACTGAGCGACTGAACTGTGTACCTGAGATGCCTTCATGTGTCTTAACCCATTGAGTGAACATGAGATTGCCGTTCCTTGTGTCTTTACACTGGTGGGGAATTCTAGGGACAACTTGTGTGTGTGTGGGCTCATGTCCAGGCAACCAGCCTGAAGAGATTGGAAAAAGTTATACCAAACATCTTTAAACAGCACTTAGTGAATCCTTTATTCTTGGATTTAGCTAAACCCTTTTTTCACTTATGGTTTAGCTTGTGCTGCTCCTGGAATAATGAGATCCCTAATTACCACCCACAGAGAAGTGAAATAATAATTACTTTTGTTCTTTATTGTTTCGTGTTGTCATTCTAAAGTTTGGTAACCAAGTCTTTTCATCCTACTTACCCTGGTGGGAGGAAGATTAGAAATCTACAGCTCAGGAGCTCAGAGGCTGCTGCTGCTGCTGTTTAGTCGCTTCGTTGTGTCCGACTCCCTTGTGACCCCGCAGGCTGTAGCCCGCCAGGCTGCTCTGCCCAGGCAAGAATACCAGAGTGGGTAGCCATTCCCTTCTCCGGGGGATCTTCCTGACTCAGGGATCAAGCCCAGGTCTCCTGCTTGGCAGGCGGATTCTTTAACCACTGAGCTACCTGGGAAGCCCTGGCTCAGAGGCAGATATACGTTACAATCTTGGATTCAAGCCCTTGCTGAGCGATTGTGAACAAATCACTTAACTTTTCTGAGCCCCTGTTTCTTCAGCTGTGAAATAGAACTAATAAAAATCCTGACTGCATAGGGTTGTGAGGTTATATGAAAACAGTTTGAAACCATCAAAGAACTGGCCCTTGGACTAGATACTGAAGTCATAGATCTCCTCTCCCCATCCATCTGAGGAACAGAAACCCCCTCCCACAGCCCCTACCTCAGACTGGCTATTCATTTATCACCTGTTTATTGACTGCCTGCTAAGTGCCAGGGCACCTGTTCTGAATGCTAGGGGGCAGGGAAGAGCAAGGCAGACAAGGTTCCTCCTTTTATGCTATTTATATTCTAGTGGGGGAGGACAGTAAATAAGTTCAGATAGTGCTGAGAGCTATGAACAACAAAAACACACTGTTTCAAATAATGGGATAAAAGAATGACAAAGAGCAGTGTGTGTGTTTGGAGGGGAGGTGTATGACCATTAGAGGGTGGTAGGTAGGGTGAGAAGCCTCTGAGGAGCTGAGTCCTAAATGTCAGGACTCCAGTCCCCAAGCAGAGAGGGACGGCAGGCAGAAGGCCCAGGCTGATTAGATCATGGCTCAGCCAGTGGCCTCTAGGCTGTCGAGCGATCTATCTTTAAAGACAGGAGATTTGCAGGGCAGGGATAGAGATGCAGATGTAGAGAACAGACACGTGGACACGGGGTGAGCAGGGACGAAGGGAGAGTGGGACGAATTGGGGGATTCGGATTAACATATACGCAGTACCACGTGTGAACCCGATAGTGGGGAGCTGCTGTTCAGCACAGGGAGCTCAGCTTGATGCTCTGTGATGACCTAGAGGGGTGGGATGGAGGAGGGCTGGGAGGGATATCCAAGAGATGTATCCATATATATGTATCCATGTAGCTCATTCCCGTCATTACAAGTTAAGTGTTAGTCACTTAGTCATGTCCAACTCTTTGCAACCCCATGGACTGTACTCACCAGGCTCCTCTGTCCATGGGATTTTCCAGGCAAGAATACTGGAGTGGGTTGCCGTTCCCTTCTCCAGGAGATCTTCCTGACCCAGGGATTGAAGCCAGGTCTCCCTCATTGCAGGTGAAGTCTTTACCGTCTGAGCCACCAGTTAAATGCCAATTAAAAAGTAAAAAATAAAAGGGTCGTGGGGGGCGGGGGTGCTCAGATTTCTCTCCTGGGATTTAGAACTAGGAAACAGAAGACTTTGCTTGACAGTAGGAGCTGAAGCCAGAAGGTTAAGGGGGCTGCAGAGGCAGCATGCAGGCCAGTGTTGGGGTAAAGCTGAAGCCGCGATTGAGCAGAGGAGGCTGGGCAGGCTCCATGTGGCATGTGTTGGAGCAGAAGAACTGGGAATCCAAAGGCATTTACTGCTGGTGGACTTCCTGGAACCGTCTTAAAACCTGAACCACTCTGCAGTTCTGGTCAGCAAGAAGTAGTACCCTGTCCATGGCTTCTGCTCTTGGATTTCCCAGATTGGCTGTATTCTTAATCTCTCAGTATGTATCTTTTCAGTAAATCTCCCTTTTATTGATGCTAGTTCTCTTTTGTCAACACATGAGTTGGACTAGAACAGCCATGTGAACCTGGGCTTGGATCCCTGGGTTTCCTTTCTGAGCTGAGTCTTTGAACAGTTATTTAATTTCTGTAAGTATCAGGATCCAACAACTATATCCTTACAGTGTTGTGCAGATTAAACAAGACAACAAAACTGGAAGGGCCTGTGGAGTGTTTTACACAGGGCAGGTATTTGGGGTTTGTTAGGGCCTGTCTCCTTTCCCTCCATGTTTTAGTGGGTTTTTGATTACAGGCCTACCTCTGCTATTGAACTGTCCTGGTTTTGTCATCCTTATTTTTATCGTTCCACCTCAGTTCTTGTTTTAACTACCCCTAAACTCTTAACCAGAAGAACACCGTGCAACTCCCTCTCCTCATAAATGAATCAACATGGTCACTGGTCTTCCTGAGGCCACTTGTGTAGCGGAGGTGTACATGGGATTTAGACTTATTCATATTTGTACTGAGGTGAGCCAGTCCTGTTTACCTGGCTCAGAGCAGTGACTTCCAAAGAGAGAGAGCGGGGGCCAGGATGGAAGATGGTGATTAAAGGAAGAAAGGGTGTGTAAAAGCTGTCTCAGAGAAGCCAGGGTCAGAAGAAGAGGAAAAGATGGGATAAACATGGAACAGAGAACTTTTTCCTGGACCTGGGCCTGCAGAGGCAGAGCACTGCTGCGACCTCAGTTCTGGGACGCCCTTCCAGTTGGTCCCAGGCCAGGGCCACGCAGAAAGCTTTCAGGAAGGAGGTGGGACCGTGGTTAGGGGGCGGCTCTAGTTTGTGCTGGAAGTGGAGGCTGGGATGAATTAGAAACAAACTGAAGATGCCTGTCTGGTAGGGGTGGGTGTGTGACATGTGGAAAAGCTATGCTTGTGATGCTCCGCCTGTGGGTCACGACCTCTTCTTAGGTCTTCACTGTAGAGGAAGAAAAGCAGTGTCCTGGGATGCCGGGAGGCGTGGCCGGGAGGCATGGTGTCGGAGAAGAAAGCGTAATGGCTGCAGAAATAATTACAGGCCGTCAGGGGAAATCTCCAGGCCCTTAGAAAGGTGTGCAGGCAGGTGGAGCGGCAGGGGTTTCTGTTAGTGCTGCCTGGGCCAAGTTCCCCTGTGTCCAGTTTTGATGAGTGTCTCTGGATGAACTGTGACTCAGGCCAGGCCTCATGGGGAGACCCACAGTTGGCGAGAGCATCATCTTTGCTTGCCAAAAGTGGTCCCCCCTGGGGAGAAAGTGGGTAAGGCTGCTCTTAGGAACTGTTCTAGATCTCAGGCCAGTACTTGTCCATCAGAGAGCTGCCGGCTTTCTTTCCCTCCAGGATTATGGCTGATAAGACCCAGGAGGCTGGTGGCGTCCACTTCCCGTTTCCCTTCACACCATATGCCATCCAGAAAGACTTCATGGCAGCGCTGTACCAGGTGCTGGAGGCTGGCAAGATTGGGATATTTGAGAGTCCAACCGGCACCGTAAGTATGACCAGTGGGGGCCTGAGAAGGTCTGGGGAGATGCTGATGACAAATCAGAGGACGCCAGCATGCTCGTCTGCCTGCACAGAGAGTCATGGTGTGAAGCTTAGAAAGGTCGTTCTTTCTGTTTATCATTCTGAGCAAGTTACTCCTGTCTATTAAACAGTTAAACACAGCCCCAGGGTCACAGAAAAATTAGGCTAGAGGCACATGAGAATTTGAATGGCCGTGGAAACCACGACTTGGAGCACTGAAACCTTCCATCTTGCTCTGAGCACACAACTGAGAAACATAGAAATTACTTTGGCTTACTCACAGATCACACACGGGTTTATTCTCCACAAACTAGGTCACCAAGGGCCAGAGTAACCCAGTCTGGAGCCCCTCAGTTTTCCTTCCTGACCTGGAAGGAGGGGGTTTATTAGAGGTTGACCACTGAGGACCGTTGGGGTCCTTGCTCATCTCTCGCACTTTATTGTTGCAGCAAGTGCCGTGTGACAGTGGCCTGCCCGTGTGGGTGTTGCTGTGACCTCCTGGAGGACCTTTCGGGCCTCTCCTCTGTGTCCCTGCCACCTGGGGAGCTTGGCCCAGTTGGCCTGGGGTGGTAATGTGTGTGTTGAGAGAATGAACAGAGGAAAGTGACTCATGTCGTCTCATCCGCTGACAGGAGTGTGTCATCCTCTCCTGGGGAGACACAGGCGGGGCTGCTCTCCTGGTTCCGTTTTGTTCCTTCAGACGCAGTGAGTGGGAGGGAGACTCCCTCCTGCCGTTTCACACAGTGTGGGTCACAAAAATGCTATGCGGGATGAGGATGTTGTGTGGGACGAGGATGCTGTGCAGGTTGAGGAGTTTTTAAAGCAGCTTCTTGCTGCCAGTCTCCAGCCCTCCGTTTACAGCCAGGGCACGTGGGGAATTCCCTTGTGCTTCCACTGCAGGGTTATGAGTTTGATTCCTGGTTGGGGAACTAAGATCCCAGGTGCCATGCAGCGTGGCCAAAAATAAATAAATAAATGCAGTGCATGGGACTTCTCCCCTCCCAACCCACTGATATACTGATTGGGATCAGGAGCAACTTCCTGTAAATAGATCTGAGGACGTTCAGGTCCTCGTCTGACCATCTGCCTCACCTGATGTCATGAAGCATCTTTTCCTCTCTCTCTTTTTTTCTTTCCTTATTTTTTAAATAATTTTTTGTATTTATTTTTGGCTCTGCTGGGTCTTCCTTTGCTGCTTCGGCTTTTTTCTGGTGGTGAGTGGGGGCTACTCTCTAGTTGCGCTGTGCGGGCTTCTCACTGCAGTGGCTTCTTTTGTAGCAGAGCACGGGCTCTAGGGCATGTGGGCTTCAGTAGTTGCAGCCCCCAGACTCTGGAGCGCAGGCTCAGCAGCTGTGGTGCATGCGCTTAGTTGCTCTGCATCATGTGGGATCTTCCCAGATCAGGGATGGAACCCGTGTCTCCTACATTGGCAGGCGGATTCTTTACCACTGAGCCATCAGGGAAGCTCTGTTTATTTTTGGCCACGCCATGCAGCATGTGGATCTTAGCTCCCCGACCAAGGATCAAACCTGCATCCCCCTGTTTGGAAGCACGGAGTCTCAACCACTGGACCACCAGGAAAGTCCCTTGTCCTCCTCTCTTTAAAGTCACGTGAAACATTGAATCAAAGAACAGTGTGTGTAGTTTAAGAAGTCACATTTATCAAACTTGGTTCCTTGGACTGGTGCTTTTAACTCTCTTATCTATTTCTTAAATACTCCTGGTTTGCATATGTTGAAATCACAAACCGATGCTGCTGTTTTTCGCATTATTGGCTGTGGTCGCTGGGGCCTCTGGCCATAGGTAAGATGGAGCTTTCTGACCATCTCTTTCCCCTCCCTCTGCCTACCCTCCTGCTGCAGTTACATATTTTCGGTCTCTTTTTCTTCTCTTGAATAACTTTTAAGTCAGTAGTTGTCTTTTAAAGGTTTGTGTCACTTTCAAAGTGTACTTACATCTGTTCTTCTCTTCACCATCCAGTGGTGTCTCAGCATCACAACTCATCATACCGTCATCCTCTTTGCCTGCCTGCCCGGGCTGCCGTGAGAACACACCACAGACAGTGGCGTAAATGTGGGAATTTATGGTCTCATAGTCTGGAGACTAGATGTCCAGAATCAAGGTGTCGGCAAGGTCCCTCCTGAGGGCCTGGGCATGTGGACAGGAAGCTTCCTCCCGTCTCTTCGCATTGTCTGCCTTCGTTGCCTCTGTGTCCACATTTCCCCTTTTTATTATGCAAGGGTACTGTCTTATACACGGGCTTCCCTGGTAGCTCAGCTCATAAAGAACCTGACTGTCGATACAGGAGATGCAAGAGAAATGGATTCGATCCCTGGGTCGGGAAGATCCCCTGGAGAAGGGAGTGGAAACCCATTCCATTTATGCTTGCCTGGGAAATTTCATGGACAGAGAAACTTGCTGGGCTACAGTCTGTGGGGTTGCGCAGGGTCGGACATGGCTGAGACACTGTCTCTCTGGATCGGGGCCCACCCTCTGTTAACTCAGGATGTCTGTTTTCAAGCAGGGCCACGTTCTGAGATAACCGGGGTCAGGGGGACACAATTCAACCCACGTCAAGGACCTCCAGGGAAAAGTCTGATGTTTAAACCAACAGATGTATTCTCCAGAACAATTGGTTTGCTTCAAAATTTCATAGCATTGGGACTCCTGGGGCCGATCACCTTTTCTCTGCGCAGATATGTTGACTGCATCCCTGCCTCAGCAGGTCGTATCCAGGATTACATGATGTGCCCCTTTTTTTGGGGGGGGGGCCTTAATTCATTTTCTGGGCTATTTATTCAGTTTCTGCCGCTCTTCTCATTGTGGTGACTTGCGGTACTTAAAGGTAGCTTGATAAACCTCTCTTATTCTTTGAAGAACACAGTGAAGACATATAATTAAAGAATTTCGCTTTTATTTTTCTTTTGTTCTTAGCTATGCTCTAGGAAAAGGCCAGTTCCCTTCTCTTTTCTTCCTTTCCGAAGCGGGTCTTGGAGCGCCCTCTGATACTTAACGTCAGATGCTTTATTACGACAGGAAAGGTCATTCGGGAAGCTGGGTCTCTTGGCCTCTATGTCTGAGAGGATTTTTCTCCCTGTAGGGAAAATCCCTAAGTCTCATCTGCGGGGCCCTCTCCTGGCTCCGCGACTTTGAACAGAAGAAACGCCAAGAGGAGGAGCGTCTGCTGGGGGCTGGAGCCCCCGCCTCGAACGAGGGGCTGGCCCCAGCCCTGCGTCTCCCACCCTCCTGCCAGGGGAGCCCAGGCACCCCAGAGGCCACTGGAGAGCCCGACTGGATCACTCAGTTTGTGCAGAAGAAGGAAGAAAGGGACTTGGTGAACCGATTGAAGGTGAGATTGGGTTATGGGAGGTAGGGCGATCTGGGAATGGGGCATCCGTGGTGACTTCAGGTGAGTCCCAAGGCTAGACAGCATGTGTCCTTGCTGTGTGTCCTCTGGCCACCTCCCGGGCGGCTGGTGCTGTGCCCTCACTGTCCGTGTTAAGCTGATGTCACCAGGCTTTCTCTAGGTTGGCATTCATGAGTACGTGCTAAGTCGATTCAGTCGTGTCTGACTCTGTGTGACCCCATGGACTGTAGCCCACCAGCTCCTCTGTCCATGGAGTTCTCAAGACAAGAATACTGGAGTGGGTTGCCATTCCCTTTTCCAGGGGGTCTTCCCGACTCAGGGATCAAACCCAGGTCTCCTGCATCAGCAGGCGGGTTCTTTATCAGCAGTTCCCTTTCATTGCTGGGAGAGGAACCACACCATTGCCAGGGGCAGCACGGACCTGGCTTCCCTGGCATCGGACCCCTTAAAGGCCATGCTGGATGGAGAGTGTGTCCTTTCTACAGTGAGCCCGGGGGCTCAGGGTCTGCTGGCCATGCTGCAGCCAATGAGGCCAGCAGGGCAGGGCAGGCTGCCCAGAGGCGAAAAGCCCTGGACTGGGGCACCCTGGCTCCAGAAGGGGCGTGCCCTGGGGCTTCCTGCAGGAGTCTCCCTTCTGGCTTCCCCATTCCAGGAGGAGCAGGTCCGGAGGAAGAAGCGAGAAGAGCGCCTGCAGCAGATCCGTCACAACACAAAGCTCCGGTTCGTGGCCAAGCGCATGGTGAGTGTGGTCCCTGGGACCATGTCCAGGTGGCGTCCACCCGTGCAGCTGGTCGGGGTGAGCAGCCAGGGCCTCGGCCCCTTGCCTGGGATGGGGGCAGCCTGAGCTGAAGGACTGGTCGTGGGGTGTTGGCACCAGTCGCTCAAGGCCCATGTCAATGGTGGGCACACTGCCATAGCCTCCTGATGCTCCCTCGTCTGGGGTGGGGCACCGGCATCAAGGTTTCTTTCTCTTTGCCCCACAGAGACAGGAAGATGAGGAAACAGAGCGTCTGCTCCGGCTCAGCAGTGAGATGCTGGCCACAGGCACAGAGCCCGAGCAGGTGGCCTCTGGGGAGGAGGAGCTGGTCCTCGCGGAGTATGAGAGTGACGAGGAGAAAGGAGTGCCCAGTGGGTAAGAGCATCACCTCCACCCACCGCCCTGCCTGGGTCTGTGCAAGTTTCCAGGGAGCAGCTCCTTCCTCCACCCCGAGAGGTGGGCCCCCTCTTCTGCAGCGAGGCCCCTTTTCATGGCATGGAGGATGCCCACAGCGGCAATCCCTTTCTCTGCCAGTTCAGGCAGCTCCCTCCTCTCGGAGGTATTTGCATCTTGGCTCTGCATTCAGGGCATCATGGTCCAGCAGGGTGCCAGGCCTGGGCCAAGGCCACGAGCTGGGGACTTGAACCCCGCTGGTCTGACTCTTAAGTCTCAGGCTCTAGCACCAAGTCAAGCTGTGTAAAGCTTGTGAGGTAAGCCCTTGAGTTGTCCTCAGGCTGAGTTTTTCTTAACCTAAGGCTTCTGTTGGTCCACACTCATAGGTTTCTAATTTGTGAGCTGTTATTCCTGAGTGAACTAGAAATGCTGGTTTTGATTTGCATTTCTGTGTTTATTAGCGATGTTGAACACCTTTTCACGTTCAGCTCTGCTTAGTCGAGTCCGACTCTTTGCAACACCATGGACTGCAGCACGCCAGGCTTCCCTGTCCTTCACCAACTCCCAGAGCTCGCTCAAACCAAACTCCATTGAGTCGGTGATGCCATCCAACCATCTCATCCTCTGTCATCCCCTTCTCCTCCTGCCTTCAATCTTTCCCAGCATCAGGGTCTTTTCCAGTGAGTCAGTTCTTCACATCAGGTGGCCAAAGTAATGGAACTTCAGCATCAGTCCTTCCAGTGAGTATTCAGGACTGATTTCCTTTAGGATTGACTGGTTTGATCTCCTTGCAGTCCAAGGGACTCTCAAGAGTCGTCTCCAACACCACAGCTCAAAAGCATCAATTCTTCGGTGTTCAGCTCTCTTTATAGTCCAACTCTCACACCTATACGTGACTACTGGAAAAGCCATGGCTTTGACCAGATGGAGCTTTGTCAGTAAAGTAATATCTTTGCTTTTTAATATGTTATCTAGGTTGGTCATTGCTTTTCTTCCAAGGAGCAAGCATCTTTTAATTTCATGGCTGCAGTCACCATCTGCAGTGATTTTGGAGCCCAGGAAAATAAAGTCTGTCACTTTTTCCATTGTTTTCCCATCTATTTGCCATGAAGTGATGGGACTGGACGTGTGGACCACAGCCTTGTCTAACTCAATGAAACTATGAACCATGCCATGTAGGGCTACCCAAGATGGATGGGTTATGGTGGAGAGTTCTGACAAAACATGGTCCACTGGAGAAGGGAATGGCAAATCACTCAGTATTCTTGCCTTGAGAACCCCATGAACAGTATGAAAAAACAAAAAGATATGCCACTGAAACACACTGAAAGGCAACAACACAAGAGACAACTCTACACTTGGACATCACCAGATGGCCAACAGTGAAGTCAGATTGATTATATTCTTTACACCTGAAGGTGGAGAAGCGCTATACAGTCATCAAAAAGAAGACTGGGAGCTGACTGTGGCTCCGATCATGAACTCCTTATTACAAAATTCAGACTAAAATTGAAGAAAGTAGCGAAGACCACTAGACCACTAAGGTATGACCTCAGTCAAATCCCTTATGATTATATAGAAGTGACAAATAGATTCAAGGGATTAGATCTGATAGACAGAGTGCCTGAAGAACTACGGAGGGAGGTTCACAGCATTATACAGGAGGCCGTGATCAAAACCATTTCCAAGAAAAAGAAATGCAAAAAGGCAAAATGGTTGTCTGAGCAGGCCTTACAAATAGCTGAGGAAAGAAGAGAAGTGAAAGGCAAAGGAGAAAAGGAAAGACATACCCATCTGATGCAGAGTTCCAAAGAATATCAAGGAGAGATAAGAAAGCCTTCCTCAGTGATCAGTGCAAAGAAATAGAGGAAAACAATAGAATGGGAAAGACTAGAGATCTCTTCAAGAAAATTACAGATACCAAGGGAACATTTCATGCAAAGATGGGCACAATAAAGGACAGAAATGGTATGGATCTAACAGAGGAAGAAGATACTAAGAAGAGATGGCAAGAATATGCAGAAGAACTATACAAAAAAGATCTTAATGACCCAGATAACCACAATGGTATGATCACTCGCCTAGAGCCAGACATCCTAGAATGGGAAAGTCAAGTGGGCCTTAAGAAGCATTACTATGAAAAAAAAAAAAGAAGCATCACTATGAAGAAAGCTAGTGGAAGTGCTGGAATTCCAGTTGAGCTATTTCAAATCCTGAAAGATGACCCTATGAAAGTGCTGCCAGCAAATTTGGAAAACTCAGCAGTGGCCGCAGGACTGGAAAAAGTCAGTTTTCATTCCAATCCCAAAGAAAGGCAGTGCCAAAGAATGTTCAAACTACTGCACAATTGCACTCATCTCACACACTAGCAAAGTAATGCTCAAAATTCTCCAAGCCAGGCTTCAGCAGTACATGGGCTGAGAATCTTCCAGTTGTTCAAGCTGGATTTAGAAAAGGCCTCTGCCAATATCCATTGGATCATCAGAAAAGCAAGAAAGTTCCAGAAAAACATCTACTTCTGCTTTATTGACTGTGCCAAAACCTTTGACTGTGTGGATCACAACAAACTGGAAAATTCTTCAAGAGATGGAAATACCAGACCACCTTCCCTGCCTCCTGAGAAATCTGTATGCAAGTCAAGAAGCAACAGTTAGAACCGGACATGGAACAAGGGACTGGTTCCAAATTGGGAAAGGGGTATGTCAAGGCTGTATATGTATATGTCAAGGCTGTCACCCTACTTATTTAACTTCTATGCAGAGTACATCATGCGACATGCTGGACTGGATGAAGCACAAGCTGGAATCCAGATTGCCAGGAGAAATATCAATAACCTCAGATACACAGATGACACCACCCTTCTGACAGAAAGCGAAGAAGAACTAAAGAGCTTCTTGATGAAAGTGAAAAAGGAGAGTGAAGAAGTTGGCTTAAAACTCAACATTCAGAAAACTCAGATCATGGCATCCGGTTCCATCACTTCATGGCAAATAGATGGGGAGACAATGGAAACAGTGAGAAACTATTTTTTGGGGCTCCAAAATCACTGCAGATGGTGACTGCAGTCATGAAATTAAAAGACGCTTGTTCCTTGGAAGAAAAGCTATGACCAACCTAGACAGCATTTTATTTTATTTTTTTCCACCCTAATCTCTTCAATTTTATTATAGGACACACTGGGGACAGAGGAGGGAAGTGGAGGAGGGGTGACAAGAAGGCAGCTGGGGGCCTCCCCCACCATGCGCCTTTGAGCACAGTAGGGGGTCAGGCAGAGGCATCAGGAGAGGATGCAAGAAATGCATGCCTTCCATGGGACAAGGATCCCTCATCATGGCGTTGGCCTTCTTAGCCCAGCATGAGGGGGAAGAGTCTGCTGGGTGGGAGGGCTGAATGTCTGCTGACACTGGGTGGCTACTGGGACGGGCTATTGCCACCCATGCCTGGAAGCACTGAGACATGTTTAGTGCCCTTCCTCCCTGTAAGCGGCATGAAAGCACTGGCCCCTAGGAGGGACAGAAAGAACCCGGCCACGCCTGCTAGCTCATGCCTCATTTGCTCTAGAGAAGACAGGGGAACCCTACATTTTGGTTTGAAAGGCTTTCTTTTTCGCCTCAGTGAAAACAGGCAGGGGAGACAGGTGGGAGGGACAAGACAAAACACTTCCAACATCAAGACACAAGTGAAAGTGAAGTTGCTCTGTCGTGTCTGACTCTTTGCGACCCCATAGACTGTAGCCTACCAGGCTCCTCCATCCATAGGATTTTCCAGGCAAGAGTACTGGAGTGGGTTGCCATTGCCTTCTCCAGATAGACAGCATTTTAAAAAGCAGAGACTTTTGCTGACAAAGGTCTGTCTGGTCAAAGCGGTGGTTTTTCCATAGTCATGTGTGGTTGTGAGAGTTGGACTGTAAAGAAAGCTGAGTGGCAAAGAATTGATGCTTTTGAACTGTGGTATTAGAGAAGACTCTTGAGAGTCCCTTGGACTGCAAGGAGATCAAACCAGTCCATCCTAAAGGAAAGGACTGATGCTGAATATTCATTGGAAGGACTGATGCTGAAGCTGAAGTTCCAATACTTTGGCCACCTGATGTGAAGAACTGATTCATTGGAAAAGACCCTGATGCTGGGAAAGATTGAAGGCAGGAGGAGAAGGGAACGACAGAGGATGAGATGGTTGGATGGCATCACCGACTTAATCAACATGAGTTTGAGTGAGCTCTGGGAGTTGGTGATGGACAGGGAAGCCTGGTGTGCTGAAGTCCATGGGGTTGCAATGACACGACTGAGCAACTGACTGGATGGATGGGACTGGATGCCATGATCTTAGTTTTTTTAATGTTGAGTTTTAAGCCAGCTTTTTCACCCTCCTCTTTCACTTTCATCAAGAGGCTTTTTAGTTCTTCTTCGCTTTCTGTCATAAGGGTGGTGTCATCTTCATATCTGAGGTTATTGATATTTCTCCCTGCAGTCTTGATTCCAGCCTGTGTTTCATCCAGTCCAACATGTCACATGATGTACTCTACATAGAAGTTAAATAAGTAGGGTGACAATATACAGCCTTGACATACTCCTTTCCCAGTTTAGAACCAGTCCCTTGTTCCATGTCCGGTTCTAACTGTTGCTTCTTGACTTGCATACAGATTTCTCAGGAGGCAGGGAAGGTGGTCTGGTATTTCCATCTCTTAAAGAGTTTTCCACAGTTTGTTGTAATCCCCACAGTCAAAGGCTTTAGCGTAGTCAATAAAGCAGAAGTAGATGTTTTTCTGGAACTCTCTTGCTTTTTTTGTGATCCAGTGGATATTGGCAATTTGATCTCTGGTTCCTCTGCCTTTTCTAAAGCCAGCTTGAACAACTGGAAGATTCTCAGCCCATGTACTGCTGAAGCCTGGCTTGGAGAATTTTGAGCATTACTTTGCTAGTGTGTGAGATGAGTGCAATTGTGCAGTAGTTTGAACATTCTTTGGCACTGCCTTTCTTTGGGATTGGAATGAAAACTGACTTTTTCCAGTCCTGCGGCCACTGCTGAGTTTTCCAAATTTGCTGGCAGCACTTTCATAGGGTCATCTTTCAGGATTTGAAATAGCTCAACTGGAATTCCAGCACTTCCACTAGCTTTCTTCATAGTGATGCTTCTTTTTTTTTTTTCATAGTAATGCTTCTTAAGGCCCACTTGACTTTCCCATTCTAGGATGTCTGGCTCTAGGCGAGTGATCATACCATTGTGGTTATCTGGGTCATTAAGATCTTTTTTGTATAGTTCTTCTGCATATTCTTGCCATCTCTTCTTAGTATCTTCTTCCTCTGTTAGATCCATACCATTTCTGTCCTTTATTGTGCCCATCTTTGCATGAAATGTTCCCTTGGTATCTGTAATTTTCTTGAAGAGATCTCTAGTCTTTCCCATTCTATTGTTTTCCTCTATTTCTTTGCACTGATCACTGAGGAAGGCTTTCTTATCTCTCCTTGATATTCTTTGGAACTCTGCATCAGATGGGTATGTCTTTCCTTTTCTCCTTTGCCTTTCACTTCTCTTCTTTCCTCAGCTATTTGTAAGGCCTGCTCAGACAACCATTTTGCCTTTTTGCATTTCTTTTTCTTGGAAATGGTTTTGATCACGGCCTCCTGTATAATGCTGTGAACCTCCCTCCGTAGTTCTTCAGGCACTCTGTCTATCAGATCTAATCCCTTGAATCTCTCTATCACTTCTGCTGTAAGGGATTTGACCTTTTCATGTACCTGTTGACTATTTGTATGTTGCTTTGGGCTTCCCTGGTGGCTCAGAGGTTAAAGTGTCTGCCCGCAATGCGGGAGACCCAGGTTTGATCCCTGGGTTGGGAAGATGCCCTGGAGAAGGAAATGGCAACCCACTCCAGTTTTCTTGCCTGGAGAATCCCATGGAGGGAGGAACCTGGTAGGCTACAGTCCATGGGGTTGCCAAGTCGGACACGACTGAGCTACTTCACTTAGAATAATGTTCATTCAGTTCCCCTTGCCCATTTTTAAATTGGATTATATGAGTTTTTTGTTTGGGTTTTTGCCATTGAGTTGTAGGAGTTCCTAATATATTTTGGAAATTAACCTCTTATCAGATGGATGGTTTTCAAATATTTTCTCCCATTCCATAGGTTGACTTTTCATTTTGTTGATTTTTTTTTTTCTTTTGTCCGGAAACTTTTTAGTTTGAAGTAGTCCCTGTTGTTTATCTTTGCTTTGTTGCTTATACTCCTCCTATATTCCAAAAAGTCATTGTCAACACCAGGGTTAAGGAGCTTGTTCCCTGTGTTTTCTTCTAGGAGTTTTGTGGTTTCAGGAGTTACATTTTAAGTCTTTAATCAAGTTTGAGTTAATTTGTGAGTGGTATGAGATAGGTGTGTAATTTCATTCTTGTTCTTGTGAATGTCTAGCTTTCCCAGTACCGTTTGTTGAAGAGACTGTCTCTTCTCCATTGGGTATTCTTGGCCCCCTTTTCAGATTAGTTGACTGCATACACAGGGGTTGATTTCTGGCCTCTCAGTTCTATTCTGTCGGTCTGTGCATCTGCCTTTATGCCAGTTGTTGTTTTTCGGTCATTAAGTCGTGTCCGAGTCTCTGCGACCTCGTGGACTGTAGCTCTCGAGGCTCCTCTGTGTCCTACACTGTCTCCGGAGTTTGCTCAGATTCATGTCCATTGAGTCGGTGATGCCGTCTAACCAACTCATCCTCTGCCACCTTCTGCTTTACTGAACTTGTGTATTAGTTCTAACAGTTTTGGGGTCACGTCTTCACGGTTTTCTACATGTAAAATCATGTCATCTGCAAACAGACAATGCACTTCTTCCTTTCCAAATTGGATGCCTTTCATTTCTTTTTCTTGCCTCATTGCTCTGGCTAGGACTTCCAGTACTGTGCTGAGCAGGAGTGGTGAGAGTGGGCCCCCTTGTGCCTGATCTTAGAGGAAAAGCCTTTACCTCTGTGTGTGATGGGACCTGTGGGCTTGTCACAAATGGCCTTCATTGTGTTAAGGTAGGCTCCTCTTCAGTTTGTTGAGAATTTCTATCATGAGAGGACATTGATTACTTTTTTAGAGCTGTTAGCTTTTTTTTGTTTTTTTAAACAGAAATTTGATTTGTTTTTGGCTGTGCTGGGTCTTTTTTGCTGTGTGGGCTTTTCTCTAGTTGCAGCAAGCGGGGGCTCCTCTCTCGTTGCAGTGCTTGGGTTTCTCATTGCTGTGGCTTCTCTGGTTGTGGAGCACGGGCTCTAGGGTGTGTGGGCTTCCGTAGTTGCCGCTCCCGGGCTCTAGAGCGCAGGCTTTGCAGTCGTGGTGCACGGGCTTGGTTGCTCCATGGCATGTGGGGTCTTCCCAGATCAGGAATCAAACCCGTGTCTCCTGCATTGGCAGGTAGATTCTTTACCACTGAGCCACCAGGGAAGCCCCAGATGTTGACTTTTGTCAAATGCTTTTCTTACACCTATTGAGATGATCATATAATTTTTTTTATCTTTCATTCCACTAAGTGATTTATGACATTTATTGATTTACTTATGTTGACACATCCTTGCATCCTAGGGATAAATCCTACTTGATCATGAAGCATGATGCATTAACATGCTGGTTTGCTGGTGTTTTGGTTGAGGATTTCTGTGTCTGTATTCAGTGGGGATCTTGGCCAGCAATTCTCTTCTCCTCTGTGTCTTTATTGACTTTGGTATCAGAGTGACACTGGCCTCATGAAATGAGTTTGGGACTGATCCCTCCTCTTCAGTTTTTTTGGAAGCGTTTGAGAATGATTGGCATTATTTCTTTATTTGGTGGAATTGACTGGTGAAGCCACCTGACCCTGGGGCTTTTCCGTGTTGGTGCTCAGAGGCCTGCCCTGAGCCACAGGTTTCAGCACCTGGACAAGAACTGACACTTGTGACCCCACCCAGGGCTAAGGTGCCAGGCTGCTCTCCACACCCCATCCTGCTCTGGGGAGACAGGAACAGCTAGTGCCCCACGGCCCTCCCCCCCCCAATCCCCGGATTGCTGGCCTGCTCTCCTGCTCCTTGCCCGGGGGCCCCTGGGGGACACGGTAAAGAACTCGAGTGCAGATTGTCAATATTCAAGCAGAAAATGCACCTCAGGGTCCAGTCAGGCCCCTGATCCTGCAGCTTAGCTTCTGTGGCTTCGATGCCCTGCGTCCTGAGATGCCAGCCTCTGAGAACACGCCCCCCTGGTTCTGACCCACAGGATGTGTCTTGCCTCCTCCCACATCCAGCCCCTCACGGAGGTCATGCTGACTTTGTCCTGGGTGGCCTGTGGTTTAAATCCCAGAGCTGCCTGACCAGCCCTCCACAGATCAGGAGGCCGGCCCTGTTGATAACTCCGCTCTGAGAGCCTCAGGCAATGCACACTAATGCCTTTAAAAAAATTGAATTCTGGGTGGATTAAAACAAAAACCAAAGTCTGAGAAGACTTTCTCCGTGCATGTGTTTTTTCCTCTCAGAGTGGACGTGGATGAGGATGACCTGGATGAAGAACACGTAACGAAGGTGAGACACAGGGTCCTGGGTCCCAGGTGAGCCACCCGGGTCTGCAGATGAGGCAGGAGCTTCGTCTCCATGTCTCCAGCCCCCAAGTTTCTGGGTGCTTGCTGGGCAGGGCCCCTGGGAGATGCCTGTGCCCCAGGGCGTTGAAGGGCAGCCTCTGGGCCAAGGGCCCAGGTCTCCTTGGGGGTGGTGGGAGGTGGAGGGGGGGTGAGTGCTCTGCCCCTGGTCTCCAGGGGTTGGTGGGCGGTGGCAGGTCCCTGTCCTTGGTCTGAGTGTGCATTTGCCTGGGGGCTGGGAGGCCTGTGTGGTTCTGACGCTGCTCCGGCTTCCTGCACTGAAGACTTTTGGTTTTCTCTGTTGACATTAGGTATCCCCCCCTCTCCTTTCCCTCCCCTGGTTCTCAGAGGGGCGCACAGAGAGAGCTGAGTTCAGCCTCCTCCTGCTTTATCCCCACCCAGCCCCCAGCCGCTGAGCCCTGAGACGTGTGTGTGGACCCTCACTCCCGCCCCCACACCTGTGACTCTCAGAGCCCTTCTGGTGTCTGAGTTACCACTGAGGGGACGCTCCCCCTCCTGACATGACCGGGGCCCCCAGCATGGCCGGAGCAGAAGCCGAGCCTGACCCAGGGGTGGGGGGTGCCTGGGGTCTGCCGGGGGTGGGGGCGTGGGGGGTGGTCGCCTTCTTTAGGTCTGACTCCTGGCCGCCCTCCCCATTCCCTTGGCCTCTTGGGCCCCGGCCCTCCTCCCTGTGCAGAGTGTTTGGGGTGACGGTCTCCCCCGACCCCCGCCTCCCCCCGGCAGATTTACTACTGCAGCCGGACGCACTCCCAGCTGGCCCAGTTCGTTCACGAGGTGCAGAAGAGCCCCTTCGGCCAGGACACCCGGCTGGTCTCCCTGGGCTCTCGGCAGGTGAGAGCCTGGTGCTATCCTGCTGGTTTCCATCCCAGAAGGCCAGGACCACCGTGGGGCTGAGGCGGGGCGCAGGGCAGGACGGGCCGTGCTGGTCCCTGGAAGGAAGCGGGAGGGCGGGCAGGCCAGGGGGCTCTCTCCATGTCGCTCAGGCAGCCCCGTTTCTCTTGCCCTCTCCTCGGTCTTACAGAACCTGTGTGTCAATGGGGACGTGAGGAAGCTGGGTTCGGTGCAGCTGATCAATGACCGCTGTGTGGAGATGCAGAGAAGCAAGCATGGTAGCCGCCAGCGGCCCAGGCCTCTGGGACCCTCGTGCGGCCCAGGGGGGTGCTGGGAATGGGGGGTGCGGAGTGGCTCCAGGGACGTGGGAAACAGTGGGAGCGAGGGTAAGGTGGACCCGGCTTCCTTCCTAAAGAGCCTCACATGGGGAAAAGGGGCCTGTCTGCTTTTTGGTCCAGATCTAGCCCAAAACCCTGGCTGAGAGATGGTTTTGTAGGCCTTTGCTAGAAAGACAGTAAGATGCCGGGATGTTTCAATGAGACCATAAGCAGCAGTTCTGGAAGGTCCCGCCCTGTGGGAACGGGTCTGGATGGTACAGAACTAGTCCTGGCCCCGGGGCAGCTGTGGCTCTCTGCCTTTGCCCCCGTGCCCCTCAGAGAAGAAGAGCATCACCGAGGACGAGGAGCCCAGGAAGAGGAGGCGGAGGCAGGAGCCGAGGGCCACCTGCCCCTTCTACAGCCACGAGCGGCTGCAGCTCCTCCGGGACGAGGTCCTGGCGGGGGTGAAGGACGTCGAGCAGTTAGTGGCCCTGGGCGAGGAGGCTCAGGCCTGTCCCTACTACGGGGGCCGGTTCGCCATTCCCGCAGCCCAGGTGAAGACTGGGGGTCGGGCGGTGGTGGTTTTGTGTGAGAGAGTGTATCGAGCCCACTCTGCAGATAAGGAAACGGAGGCTGAGAGGTTGACTTTCCCAGAGTTGCATGGCTCCAGGACCAGAACCCGGGGCTGCCTTGGGGGCACAGAAGGGGCTCCGCAGCCAGGGTCCCAGCTCCCTCCCCACTTCCAGGGGCACAGAAGGGCCTCTGCGGCTGGGGTCCCAGCCCCCTCCCCACGTCTGCCAGTGGTCCAGCGGGCTCCAGTTTTATCGGTTACCTGTTTGGTCCACACAGGCTTTCCGGGCAGGGCTTCGTACTCAGAGCACAGTGCACTGCTCTGGCGTTCTCTCTGTGTCCCTGCACGTGTTCTGGGCAGGAACTGGAACCAGTGCACACTGGGGCTGCAGGGTGGCTGGGCCAACCCCTCTGGGGGAGGAAAGGGGTCCCGCCCCCTCAGGCCCTCTCTCCCCCTCCAGCTGGTGGTGCTCCCCTATCAGATGCTGCTGCACGCGCCCACCCGCCAGGCGGCGGGGATCCGGCTGCAGGGCCAGGTGGTGGTCATCGACGAGGCCCACAACCTCATCGACACCATCACCAGCATCCACAGCGTGGAGGTCAGAGGTTCCCAGGTGGGTGGGCCTCCGTCTTCCTGGACCAGGGCGTGTGCTGAGCTGAGGCTGGCAGCCCCCCCCCCCCCCCCCCCCCCCCCCGCCACAGCAGGATTTAGGACTGGGCCCAGCCTGGCAGCGGGCACTCTGCATGGTCTTCCCCAGGCTGTGACCCAAGGCCTCCAGGTCAGAGTGGCAGGGTGTGAGAAGCAGGAGTCCTCGTGTGGCTGGATGTTACTGTTGACACTGCTGTGAGGGATGCTGGACATGGTTGACAGTGCTGTTTGCTCATTGCTTGTTACGTGCCCTGTACCACGTTGCGGGGGGACCCCTGACTCTGCATCAGGCTAATCCTATTGATGCTGAGAGCTCAGAGCCCGAAGGAGGTTACGCGCTGTCTCAGGGCTTCTGTGGTGACTCAGACGGTAAAGAATCCACCTGCAACACGGGAGACCTGTGTTTGATCCGTGGATTGGAAAGATCCCCTAGAGAAGGGAATATGTAGGTACCCACTCCAGTATTCGTGCCTGGAGAATCCGTATGGACAGAGGAGCGTGGCGGGCTACAGTCTATAGGGTCACAAAGAGTCAGACACGACTGAGCGACTTTCAGGTTAGTGGATTTGACCACTGGCTTCTGATCCTTAAGCCCACATGACGCTCCCCTCGACAGACCTGGGCCAGGGTGTGAGGGTCGCCTTGAACCGTCTCTCTCAGCAGATGGCGTGTTCCTCCTGTCCCAGGAGACACTAGCAGAGATGTTTGTTATGCACGAGCATCACTGTCTGGCCTTTTCCTTGACCCTCACTGGACGCCCAGCAGCAGTCTGCCTCCCCCCGTCTCTTGGCCCCACCAGCTGAAGGGCCTTGAAAACCCACACCTTGGTCTGCCCCAGCTCCCCCTGCATTTTGACTGCCCCCGAGTGTCCTGGGCTGGCACAGTCAGGCGTCCAGGGGTCACTGGCACCACGCAGGGGGGCTCGCCCAGGCCTGCTCTGCCCTCTCACCCGTGCTGTTTTCTCCCCCAGCTCTGCCAGGCCCACAACCAGCTGCTCCAGTACACGGAACGATACAGGTGAGACGCTGCCTCCTGGGGGGGTGGGAAGGCCCCGCTCAGCCTTGGTGCCCCAAAGCCCACCTGCGAGAGGAGGCATTGCGGGGTGTCTCTGGCCTGGGCTCAGAGCGGTGGGCTGGCATGCCCTTCACCTCCTGATTCATCGGGCTTACATCCCACTAGGCCGTGGAGGCCTTGGGCCCCGGCCAGCCTGTCTTCTGGGAGAGCTGGCTGCAGCCCGTGCGCCAGTTGGGAAGGCGGCAGGCGGGAAGGCCTCAGCTCGGACCAGGAGGCGAGTTGGGATCCCTCCCACTGACGTGCTCGGGCTTCCCCCCTCTCCCAGGAAGCGCCTGAAGGCCAAGAACCTGATGTACATCAAGCAGCTCCTGTACCTGCTGGAGAAGTTCGTGGCTGTGCTGGGCGGTGAGGAGCCTCCCCGCCCCCCTGAGCCTGCCGGAGCCTGTCAGCACCCCTGGGGTTCCGGTCACAGGCATCATCTCAGCCATTGATTTAGGAATCCTCATCTGTCCCTGCTTAGATCTTTTTTAGAACTTGCATGTGTATGCGTCTGTCCTGAGTCCTTTTTACTTGGCCAGGCCCTCTCCTCGGGTGGCAACACCCTTCACATGTTGTGCTATAAACATGTGTATGACCCTGACGGTGCTGGGACTTGGGGCTCGGTGGTCCCGCGAGGAGGGCAGCATAGGCGTGCTCACCCTCAGGGCAGTAACTGAAGCCCAGCGTGGCCAGCCGCTGGTTCGGGAGCCCGGTGAGAGGGACTGGAGTCCCTGGCTCCGGGCCCCACACACCTTTGTCTTACTCTCTGCACCAGCGTCCCTTTACTGAGTCGCTTCACCCATAGAAGCTGAAGTGCAGAAGGGCGGGGGAGCTTCCAGGGGATCTCTCAGGTCGGCACTCTTCGCTTGGTTTCTGCCCTGCAACCTGGGAGTCTCCTGCTCACGCCTGTAGGAATGGGGTGGGGGGTCCCTGTCCTTGCAAAGGGTGACATCGCCAGGCGCGGGCTGCACATGCAACACTTCCGGGCCCCTGGGGCATCCTGCCCCCCTCCCATGGGTCCTTCGGGTGCTGTAAGGGGCAGAAGACCCCTTCAGACAGGAACATTCTTGCTCGATAACTACAGGGTAGAGGGAGAAGACGGCGCCGGGCCCACTGTCCTGACCTGTTTACTCTCTTTTTTAGGGAACATTAAGCAAAATCCCAACATGCAGAGCCTCTCGCAGGCAGGTAAGAGCGGGCAGCAGCTGTTGCTGAGCTTCCCTCCGGGATGCAGGCCGTGGTCCCCGGAGGGGACGTCAGGCCCGCATGTTTGTTCTTAGGGACAGAGCTGAAGACCATCAACGACTTCCTCTTCCAGAGCGAGATCGACAACATCAACCTGTTCAAGGTAGGTCGTCACCTTCGGGGGTGGGCACCCCCAGGCTTCTTTTTTGCTCCCCACCCATGGGCAGGACTCTGCATGAAGACCGTGGAAGGAATCAAAAGTGAGTTCCTTTTGTCCTTGAGCAGCTCAGAGGCCTGAGGGTCTATGGGATAACTTAACCCTTGCACACAGTTCGTGTCAGAGGAGAGGGATCATCAGCTTGGGGTGAAGGGTCACTATGATGACAGCCGTGCTTTTCTCTGTGTGTGATAAGCTGGTGCTTCCAGGTCCCCCCTTTCTCCTCTCTGCAGTGATGGGGGCAGTGGCAGAGGAGAGGCCCCAGGCTAGAGGCTGACGTGGCCACGGGAGGCTTCGGGCACCGGGGGGTGGCGGTGGGCCCGCTCCTGAGTGTATGGAAGGTCTTTCTCCAGCTGTAGCCATTTTCACGGCGCCTCTGGCCGGGTGTGTTTTTGTAGGTGCGGCGCTACTGTGAGAAGAGCAAGATCAGCAGAAAGGTACCCAACCCTCTGCTCAGCCTGAGGCTGCCCCATGTGCCCCTCACTCCTGCCCTGCAGAAGCGCCAGGGCACCTGTCCCTGTGTTCACTGGGGGCAGCTCGTGGGCGGGCAGGGAGGCCCGTCTGTCTCCCCTCACAGCCGCTGCTCTTATCCCATCCCAGCTCCTTGGCTTCACAGAGAGGTACGGGGCAGTCCTGTTGCCCTCTGTGGAGCAGCCCAAACTGTCCGGCTTCCAGGACTTCCTGCAGAGCCTGCAGCCCGGGGCGTCAGCCGGTGAGTGGGGACGGGGAGCCTGGGCTGCGGCCTTCCTCGCGTGCGCGGTCTCTGTCCGGAGTCGCTGACCCTCTTCCTCTGCTCTGTGCAGCCCCTGCCGCCCCTGCGGAGGCCGGGGAGGACCGGTCACCGCGGCCTACTTCCCCGCTGATGCACGTCGAAGGCTTCCTCGAGGCTCTCACCACCGCCAACCAGGACGGCCGGGTCATCCTGAGCCGCCAAGGTAACTGGGAGGAGCCAGTTCACCTCCAGTTGGTGTTCATACCTTGCTGGGTTAGGACATGGAAACGGCTGCCTGTGACCATGCTGGTGGTCGAGGGGGCGAGGAGGAGGACACGGAGGTGCTGGGCTGCTGGCCGGCCTCGGTGAGGTTACCTGAGAAGCCGCGCGGCCCGGTGTGACGGTCAGGGGGGCTGCGTTGGAGTCGTGGCCCTGTCACCTACAAGCTGCGTAACTGGGACCAGTTTCTCCCCAAAGCTCAGTCCCTCGTGTGGCAAGGGAGATGATTGTGCGTCTCCCTCGGGGTCGTCCTGGGGATGAAGTGGGTCTCATTTAAAGAGAAAGCGGCATCTCTGTGACTCCTGCGTGGACCCGACTGGACACCATCTTTGTCTCAGACAGATGGAGGTTTTGGTTGGCTTGCACCTGCCCGCCCTTCTCCACGTGGCTGTCTTTTTTTCTTTTGTCTTCAGGTAGCCTCAGCCAGAGCAGCCTCAAATTCCTGCTCCTGAACCCAGCTGTGCACTTCGCCCAGGTGGTGAAGGAATGCCGAGCGGTGGTCATTGCCGGGGGCACCATGCAGCCGGTAAGGACGCGGCCCAGCCTCGCGCCTGGGTATTAGGAGGGGGAGGATCCCTGGCCCATGGGCCCGGGGCTGGAAGGGTGGGAGGGTGGGGTGGGGGTGCAGCTTGAGTCGGCCAAGCGGTGTCCACCAGGTGGCATTGCTATTCTGTCTCTGGGCCAGTTTCTGGGGTCAGGCAGACCCAGATGTTTCTGCAGCCTCTTCTCCAGAGAAAGCCATCCTGCAGTTTCAGACCCAGAATGCAGTGCCTTTCCCTTGTTGTACCCACCCTAGATACAACCATCTCTCTCTCTCTCTTTTATAGACTTAAGTTTTAATATACACATTTTAGGGGAGTCTAATAGGAAATCAAAAATAGATCGTAATTCCACCAGGAAAAAACTGATTTTGGTGTATATCATTATTACAGAATTTGTGTAGTTAATTGTTACAGATAATACAGACACGTTTTGAAAACAAAAATGGTGTCTCCACACGCTGCTCTTGTCATTTGCTTTTCTTACTCAGCAGCAAAACATCTTAAACGTTTTTCCTTCTCAGCAAATTGGCATTTATCCTGCCCAACTCTGGCTGCCCTTTATTCCGTTACATAACTGTGTTATTATATATGATCGCTCTTCAGTGGACAGACTTAGGACATAGTTTTCAGAAGTTATGAATCCACAGTGATGTTTCTGTATCAAAACCAGTCATTTTACTTAACTTTACACAGTGCCTCTTAAGCTGCAGTTTGGTTTCTTACAGCACATTAACATAATTCTTTGCCTTGTCCCACAATATACTTAGAACAGTTATAAAATTACACCAACCCTCAAACAGTAAACTGTGGATTAAACTCGTTTATCTGCGTTTATTCTTTGCCCTTGAAGTGCCCCACCAAGGAGGTGTGGTCACTAGGCGTGGACAGTCACTTGAGAGCCAGCTCTTCTCTGTGCGGTTGTGTTCTGAGTTTGGTAGGTAGCCAGGCTTTCTTGGTTTCGGTTTGTTTTCAGTTTCACAGTTTGCCTTTTTACTTTCTTATGTTCTAAGAGATGTCCACATCTGCATGGTTCAGAACTCAGAACTGTAACAACGCATATTCAGTCTCCCTACTGTTCCTCTCCAAACTTCCGTTCCCTGTTCCCATAAGTAATCCTTTAATTAGCTCCTGGTCTGTCTCTCCAGTGTTTCACTGTGTGTGCGTGGCTATCACTCCTCAGCCTTTTGACCAAGATGATTTATATCACGGGGCCTTCCCTGGTGGCTCACTGGTAGAGAACCTGCCTGCCAATGCAGGAGATGCAAGAGACACAGGTTCGATCCCTGGTTCGGGAAGACCCCCTGGGGGAGGGCATGGCAACCCACTCCAGTATTCTTACCTGAAGTATCCCATGGACAGAGGAGCCTGGCGGGCTACAGTCCATAGGGTCATAAAGAGTTGGGCACAACTGAGCAGCTTAGCACACTGCAACAACTATATATATAAAATATATAAACTAAATATATATATATGTAAGTTTTGTTTTTTTTGTAAAAATGAGCAGATATTTTCCCCTGTCCGTCCTTATTGCCTCAGAGGTAGCACTTCCCCGCCCACCCCAGCACGCCCGCCTTCGTGCCCGGGCTGGTCTGCACCCCTCCTGGGGCTGCATGTCCTCTGCTGAGTGGAGGCAGGGTCGCTCCTTCAGCCAGACTCTCTCTCGAAGTGCAGATTATTACAAACAACCTCATGGGAACTATCCCGGTGCATATGTTTGGTTTGTGGAGCTGTGCTTCAGAGGAGATGCCCGGATATGGGATTATGGGTTAAAAAGTAAAAATTGTCTGACTTGTTAAGTGCTGTCAAATTCCCCTCACCAGGAGTTGTTCTGCTCTGTATCCCACTAGCAGCCTACAAGAATACCTGTTTCTCCAAAGAGTACTCAAATTCGGGGATTTTTGCCAGTTTGATAGGTGAAAAAACCTGGAGCTCTTTAAAAAATACAAATGTGTACATCTTCTGACTACAGATTCTTACTCAGTAGTTTGGGCTGGGCTTGACCATGTATATATTTTTTTTCCAAATGGTGATTCTGTTGCAGTGCCAGGGCTGAGACCCACTGTGCCAGGTTGCTGGATTTCCCCTGCTGTTTCCTCAGGTGGCTGGAATGCGGCTGCCAACACCGGCATCATTAGTTTCGTCTTCTTTCAGCGAATCTGTTCCCAGGCTTTCCCTGGACCTCTCCCTCCTGGTCTCACGCACTTGCCCCCTCCAGGCCCAGCCCTCTGGGAGGTGACGGTGTTGGCCCTCTGGTCTGCAGGTGTCCGACTTCCGGGAGCAGCTGCTGGCTGGTGCCGGGGTGGAAGCGGAGCGCGTGGTGGAGTTCTCCTGTGGTGAGGACCCAGGCCGGTGGCGGGGGCCCTTGTCACAGTCCAGCTGTGTGCTGCGATCAGCCAGGGGCTGAAGCCATGGTGGAGAGGGGGTAAGGGAGTAGCTTCTGGCTCTGAGTCCCTCCGTCTGCACGCAGAGGCCTGGGCGTCCCAAGTTGGTTCTCCGTGGGAGTCAGGTGGAGGGTGGGTGCTGTAAGTTGCTGGTCCGGGTCTGGGAGACAGGGCTGGGTGGGGGGCCGGGGGGACGTTCTCCATGGACTCAGCCTCACTGGGTCTTGCCCAGGTCATGTGATCCCTCCAGATCACATCCTGCCCCTCATCATCTGCAGCGGGCCTTCCAACCAGACGCTGGACTTCACGTATCAGAAGAGGGGGCTGCCTCAGATGGTCAGTTCAGTCAGCCTGCCCGCTTGTGGCCTTTGTGGGGGTGGGAGATGGATTTAGGGCTGGGGCACTCTGGCCAGTCCTGGGTGTTTAGGCTCTGGGTCTCCCATCTCAGCTGGCACAGGCTGAGCAGTGTCTGCGTGGACGTCCACCAGGGAGGGTCTGAGCCGCCCCACCCTCACCCTTTAGCAGGGTGTACGAGCAGGCTGCTCACTACCTTGGTTCTCTTGCCGTGTGGCTCTGTGGGTGCCACCTGGGCAGGCATGGGAGTGCTGGGCACAGCTCTAGGGGCCTGTCTGTGGTTTTCTGTGCCCGATTTGTCACAAGCATCAGCTGGGCCTGTGGTAGGGAGGGTGGATGACCCACTCAGGTGGCGCCACCTGGCCGCACCCCACAGCCCTGATTGCAGCCACCTGTGGTCTTTGGGCTTTGAGCCTTCCGGGAGGGGCTGCAGGATTGGCTTTCGTCTCCCCTCGCTAGATGGACGAGACGGGCCGCATTCTCTGTAACCTGTGCAACGTGGTGCCGGGAGGGGTGGTCTGCTTCTTCCCCTCCTACGAGTACCAACACCAGGTCTGCGCCCACTGGGAGAAGAGTGGCCTGCTGGCCCGCCTGACCATCAGGAAAAAGGTGAGTGGTCGGCACTCAGCTGGACGTCCCACTGAGAGGACGGTGGCACCTAGAGTTCCTCCCGGGGTTTCTCCTGTGTGGGGGCTTCCTCTACTGTCTCATCCCTACTTCCAGTCCTGATACCAGCCGGTGGGGGTCTCTTCAGGACCCCGGCTCTGTGGGCTTTTCCAGTCCCTATTCTGAAAAACTTTAGGGCCAAGAGTGACTCAACACCCAGGCAATCTGTGACCCTTTTCTGGGAGATGTTCTCTGTTTACCTCCAGATATTTCAGGAGCCCAAGAGAGCAAATAAGGTGGAGCAGGTGCTGCTGGAGTATTCCAGGTGCATCAAGGTGAGGCTGCGGGTCCCCAGAGCCCCTGAAGGGGGCACCCACACTCTGGCGCTGCAGCTCTGGGCTGGTGTTCCCGCAGCACTGCGGCCAGGGCCAGGCCCGGGGCACGGAGACGGGCGCCCTGCTGCTCTCCGTGGTCGGGGGAAAGATGAGTGAAGGCATCAATTTCTCTGACGACCTTGGGCGGTAAGCAGTGACTTCTCACCCCTTGGGCTCTGACTTTGCACCTGGGCTGACGGCTCAGGTCCACACCCTCGAGGGGCCTGGACTCACCAACTCTGGATTGGGCCCTCTGGGGCCAGCTGGAAAACCAGGCTGCCCCCCCGGATCAGGACTCGGTTCCTTGGTCTAGACTGGACGTCTGGGCTGATGAGAGAACTTGCTCCAGGTGGCAGGGATGAGGGGAAGGAGAGGCTGAAGGAAGCTGATGGCGGTGGGTGGGGACGGGCCCCTCGTCCTGGGCCTTGGGAACCGCCCACGTGCCCCGGCTCACGTGTGACTCCGTCCTAGATGTGTGGTCATGGTGGGCATGCCTTACCCCAACATCATGTCTCCAGAGCTGCAGGAGAAGATGGCTTACCTGGACCAGACGCTTGTGAGTACCCCCGTGCCTCCCCCAGCTGCAGCTACCCCTCGACATGTGTGCCTGTTTGCCCCAAAGGGATGGACATGCCTCCATACTCCTGGGTGTTTTCGCACCGTCAGCTGTTGTATCGGCTGCTGGTGCCCGCAAGGCCCACTAGTCTCACCCCCAAGCCTCGGTCGCTGTCACAGAGAACCCCTTGCAGGAGGCAGGCATCAATCCTGATGGGTCCTCTCTGCCCTTTGCAGCCCAGAGCCCCAGGCCAGGCCCGCCCCGGGAAGGTGCTGGTGGAGAACCTGTGCATGAAGGCTGTCAACCAGTCCATAGGTAAGCCTGGGGCGGTGCTGCTGGCGGGAGGGGAGGCTGTGGGCTGAGGTGACAGGAAGGAGCAGTTTCACCTGCCATCTCTCCAGCCTGAGCGCTGAGGAACGGGAGGGGCATAGTAGGAAGACCCGTCCCCATTCTGTCCAGGCAGGGCCATCAGGCACCAGAAGGACTTTGCCAGCATAGTGCTCCTGGACCAACGGTACGCCTCCCCGGCCATCCAGGCCAAGCTGCCGGCCTGGATCCGGGACCGCGTGGAGGTCAAAGCCACCTTTGGCCCTGCCTTTGCTGCTCTGCGGAAGGTCAGTCCTGCCCTTCTGGCTCCCTGAGACTGTCCCGCCCCTGCCCCAGTCTGGTGTCATGGTCTTTCCCTCTCTGCAGTTCCATCGAGAGAAAGCTGGCCTTTCCTGACTGGTGGTCGCACCAGGGTCGCCAGGCCCTCCCTTCACCTGTCCACGGGCAACATCATTGTGAGCTTGGTCTGCAGGGATCCTGCCTGAGAAGGGGGTGCCGTGGGAGCCCCTTCAGGACTCAGTGGGCTGCCAGGATTCAGGAAGAGGTGGACCAGCCAGCAGGAGACAACGAGGCTGACCCCAAAGAAACAGTGACCCCGCCATTCCTGGCCTGACCCCCGGGCAACTGCCTTGCTTGAAACGGAGTCTGTCTTCTGCTCGGCCCAGCCCCGTGTCCAGCTCTCGGCTGATTCCTGGCTGGTCTGTGAGTGGCTGTGGAGGCTGCAGCCACCCTGCCCTGGCCTGTTTCTCAGAATCCATTTTCAGAGGTGAGATGGAGCAGGCTCTTCCAGCCTCTCCCTTTCTCACTGAAATAGCTGTTCCAGACCTTTCACCCTCGGAAACTCAAGAATGTTACCCATCCCCACCCCCTGGTATCCACAGGGCTGTTCTGCCCCAGCTTCGGGTCCTCTCGGCCACCTTTTCTCTAAGTCTTTAAGAACTGCTCCCCAACCTCCCAGCCTCACTTCCTCCTACACTGTAGCCCTCACCTGCCCCCGGGGCCCTGCCAGCAGGATCATCCTCCTGGCCTGGCTCCAGGGCCTCCTGCTCAGCCACAGAGCAGACGCCAAGACACCGCCTCCCCTGACATCAGCGATTATGCCAGGGCCATTAGGCTCTCAGCACGGCTATTTTTAGAGACCCCGTGTCTATCACGGAGACACTTTCCTGTGTGGAAACAGCCCTCCCTCCCTGCACCCCCCCCACCAACCTAAGCCCCAGCTCCAAGGGCCGTCTGCACAGCTAGGGTTCCTTAATTAAAAGTGCACTGTTGGTTTAGGCTCGCATCTTGCATCACTTCTTTATTGATTCATGTACTGTTTTACTGCAGTCTAAGGAAGAGGAGCACAGGCAGAGGGCACCCCCGCCCCCGCGCCTCCCCTGCAATTTGGCCTCTGAAAGCAGCCTCCTTGCTCCTTGAAGATCCTGGCAAGAGAGCTGGAGAGTCCTCCATGACCCTGTCCCCCCAAGGAGCCTGTCTGGCTGTTCTGCATGGGGGCGTGGTGCAGTCAGGGACTTGGGGGAGGATGAGCTGAGCCCTAGGACTCCCAGTCATCCTCGTCCTCTTCACCTGGGGGCTGTTGTGGGGGAGGCAGGGGCGGGATGGAGTCTGACATCCGGGCGAAGGCTCCCCCTGGCCCCTCGCTGGCCCCGGACCCAGGTCCTTTCCCGGAGATACCTGGGAGGGCAGATGCCGGAGTGAGGAGCTGGTCTGGCCACCAGGCCAGCCAGGCCCTACAGACCTGAAAACCGCGAGGAAGGAGGCGGCACCAGGGTCCTGCTTCCTACCTTTGCGCCTCATGGCCAGCTTGTTGAAAAGGTCTGACATCAGGTCCCCGCCCTGGCTGGTGGCTCTCACTGCAGTGGGAAAGCATGGGGACAAGGTGAAGGGACCCGGGGTGGGCTCAGTCCAGCCCATGTGACACCCCAGGGCTCAATCATGGGGTCCTCTGCACTGTCAACACTCTGGCCCCTCCACAGCCACCAGGCCACCACAGCCCCTGGAGCACTGGTCAGTGTTACTAGGAAAGCAGGTGACCTCTGAGTAACGGAGTCACTGACATCCTGAGACAGGCACGGAGGAGCGGAGTCGCCTCCGTCCTGAGCCGGGCTCAGGGAGCAGCACTGGGCAGAGGAGGAGCCTGCCCAGGGTCCCCGTGCACCGCTCAGAAGCACAGCTGGGATGACTCAGGGCTGGGATCCCAGGGAGCACGGCTGCTTTGGGCCCAGACGTGGCATCTGTCAGCACTGGATGCGCTACTAACGTAGCCCGGAGCCTCAAGGGGCCTCGAGAAGTGGGCTGCAGCTAGGTCCCCGTCTCTAAAAATATCTCTAGTCCCCGACTGTTTCCTTGGACCATTGGCCGAGTCTAAGCAGGCTCCAGCTCCGGGCAGGAGGGCCCGCACAGCCCCTAGAGACGCAGGCAGAGCGCCCTGCAGCAGGTCCGGCCTCACCTTGCTCCTGCTCTTTCTGCTTCTTTTTCTCCAGCTTGCGCTCCTTGACACTGCGGAGCTTGGCCTTGCCGATGCCCCCGGCCTGGCGGATGGACTCCAGCAGAGTGGCCCGGCCACTGGAGGGGTCAACCACTTCCTTGGGCGCTCCTTGGACTGGGGCTGGAGGGTGGAAGGTGCAAGGAAGAAAGGCTGCGGGGGCCGAGCCGGGCTGTAGGCCAGCACCGCCCAGGGTGGGTACCGAGGTAGCCTGGGAAACACATCACCGAAGGGCCACGCGGGGGCTCTGGCTGTATTTTCCATGGTTACTAGTAGCCCCCTCTGTCACTGGTTCAAGGGGAATGGGGGGTCCAGGCTCCCTCTACCCTGAAGGTTAGAATTTCAGGGCCCCAAAGATATGGTTTGAAACCACTACTTTATGAACTTGGGAGAATGTAATTTTGAAATCAGAACTTCTGAAAATCTAGAATTGATGACCACTTAACTAAGCTACAGAAAACCCTTCAGGGATCCAGAAGTTGGAGGCGCCCCTCTCCCACCCACACGCCCTGGGACTGCCCCTACCTGAAGGGGACACGCCCCCACTGTTGTCCCCGCTGGCGGGCTGTCCTGGCGGGGCCATGGGTGGGGGCGGAGGTGGGGGGGCGCTGACCAGCACGGCCGGAGCTGGGGGAGGCGGCGGGGGTGGCGGGGGCGGTGGGTGTGCCGTCAGCACCCCATCCTCGAGGTCTGGGACAGAAGGCGAGGTGTCAGGTGCCTTAGGAGGCAAGAGGCTGAGCAGGGGAGTGCCCACCCCAGTCTGCCCCCAGCTCTCGGCCCACCTGGCTTGAAAGGCTGGGCCACCTCCGTGTGGAAGGCGGGCAGCTCGGGAATGGCGCCGGGCGCAGAGGGGGCGATGCCTGGGCCCAGGTCCGCGCTATACATGAGGTCGTCGGCCACGCCAGGCAGGTCAGGCAGGTAGGACGGCACGTCGATGTCCGGCACCTGGCCCAGGTCAGGCACGTAGAAGTAGTTCTCTGGGACCTGTGGGTTGGGAGGGTGAGGGGGGCCAGGGAACAGGCCTTGGAGTTTCCCAGGCCCCCAAGCACAGCTGGGCGTGTAGGGGGCTCATCAGACCCCTGGTCCAGACAACATTGGGGGGCCCCCCCCCCACCCCCAGGCACCATCTCCATCCACCTGTTGCTCCAGCTGCTCCCTCCTGCTGATGGACAAAGGGGCATCAAACAGCTTCTCCTCTGTCTCGGCCCCCAGCATCACGTGGGTCTTTGTGACGGCACCAGCCAGGGGGTCCAGGAAGACATACTTCTTGTACCTGAAGAAGGTGGAGGTCAGGGCATGCGGCACCTGTGCTCGGCCCTTGGGCTAGACCACCCTTCCCACATCATTAGGGCCACAGCTCAAGTTAGGATCACAGCCTCCCAGGCCTTACGAGGCAAAACCAACTGGTCAGGAGCCTCCTGGCTCCCAGGCCATAGCCTTCTGCTGCACCCGAGCCAGGAGCCCCCTGGCCCCCCACCCCCTCCACTCACAGGTTCTCAGTGGTGTTGAAGAGCAGCAGGGAGCTAACGGAACTGATGTTGCTGGGGAGCCCGCCCAGCCCCTCCTCAGCCTCGTCCTCAGGCTCCGGCTTGGTGTTCACACACACGGGGAAGAATTTCAGCTTCTCCTGGGGGCGTGGGGAGATGGGAATTGACTGAGGGAGGCGGGTTTTGGCTCCAGGCCAAAGCGATCCCCTGACTCCTCCAGCAGTCAATCCTCTGGGGCCTTGGCTCCCCCAGGGTGCAGGGCACTGCCGCAGACCTGCAGGGCCCGCTCGTCCAGGGGGCGGTGCTTGCTCTGGATCCTGTGGCGGGGGCGCCTCTGCAGGCCAGGGTCCTGGGCCCCTGTGAAGATGGAGCCGTACTCCCGCAGACGCTCGGGGGCAGGGTACTTGGCGCTGGAGAACACCTGTGGACACACGGCGTCTGGTCACTCCTGCTGGGCCTGAGACGCTCCAGAGCCTGGGGTTGGGGTGGGGGGGACTGTGGGCAGGAAGAAACCTGAGGGGTAGCTGGAGCAGGCACCCGGCAGCTTCGGAGGCATGGGGAGAGGAGAAAGTAGAGGACTTTTGGGACCACCGACCAGCCAGAGGACAGGGCCACACGCCTGCTACCTTGATGGCTTTCTTGCTGCCCTTGATCTTCTCGATCTTGGCCTGGGCCAAGGATACCCTCTCCCCGATGGCCTGCAGCTGACTCCGGCTGAGCTCTACTCGCTGGGAGATCCTGCCACCAAAAAAACAAAACAAAAACTAATCACCAGGGCTGGAGGCTCCTCCCCAGGCCCCTGCAGCCTCTGGTCCTGCTCGTTTCTACCGGCAAACAGGCGAACGGGGACTCGGGTAAGGGCTTGTGCCCAAAGTTTTTGTTTTGGCCACACCCCACAACATGCAGGATCTTAGTCCCCGACCAGGGATTGAACCCATGCCCCTGCAGTGCAAACACAGAGTCTTAACCCCTGGACAGCCAGGGAAGCCCTCGGGTAAGGGCTCTTAAAACAGCAATACCTGCTTGTCAGGGCTGATCCTGGAACTGCCCAGGTGACCTCGATCAGGACCATCCAACCTGAAGGGTCTGGGAATGGACTGTATTCCGTTCCCTGGAGCTCCGGGCAGGGACAGGCAGTCACCCTGGCACCCAGCTGGCACCTGTACGTGCCACCTGAAAGGATGCAGTGCCCACCCACCAGGGCTTTCCTTCTCAGGCCCAGGTGAGCAGAGACAGAATCTTCATGACTTACATGGAGGAAACCAGAGCTTAGAGAGGCTGAGCAACAGGCCAGACTGATCCTGATTCCAGTCCCAGAGCTGACCACAAGGAACCGCCCGACTCAGGGCAGGCAGCTCTGGGTAAACCCTAGTCCCCACTGAGGTTCTCACAGTTGTGGGTGGTCTGCCAAGGGGCTGCCCCACCCCTTCCCAGGATTAGCAGGTTCCAGCAACAGGGTACCCTGTTAGTTCCTGAATATGCCCAATGCTGCCTTGTCATATGGCCCAGCCGTCTCCCCACACGGCTGGTCCTTCATTTCACTGAGTCCCATGCCAAGGCCTGCCTGAGACAGAGTTTAAAACTCACTGTCACTTTCCAACCCCTAGCCGAGTCTATTGTTACACACTGCCATCTGTCACCATCACAGAGAAATCATTTGGTCAACAAAGGTCTACAGAGTCAAAGCTATGGTTTTTCCAGGAGTCATGCAGGGATGTGAGAGCTGGACCATAACGGCTGAGCGCTGAAGAAATAATGCTTTTGAACTGTGGTGCTGGAGAAGAACTTTGAGAGTCCCTTGGACTAAGGAGATGAAACTAGTCAATCCTAAAAGAAGTCAACACTGAACTGACATGAAGAGCCAACACATTGGCAAAGACCCTGTTGCTGGGAAAGATTGAGGGCAAGAGAAGGGAGTGACAGAGGATGAGATGGTTGGATGGCATCAGTGACTCCATGGACGTGAATTTGAGCAAACTCAGGGAGATAGTGAAGGACAGGGAAGCCTGGCATACTGCAGTTCATGAGGTTGCAAAGAGTTGGACATGACTTAGCAACTGAACAAGAACCACCTGTCACCGTGTCTCCTGCCTGTGGGCTCCTGGGCTTGGGGCTCTGTTCTTTGCTGTGTTCCCAGCACCTGGCACTGAGCCGGGCACCTGAAGGGCTAACACCTCATGCCCCAAGGTAAATGCACACACGCCTCACTCTCACTATTCAGCAGCACAAGGTTCTTCTCACTTCCCAGGAGCCCCAGCCCACCCCACCAGGGTGTCCTCTGCCCAAGAGCCCCCTCTACCTCCAGGAACACCAGCCCCTGACCGTGGCCACAGCTGGTGAATGGCAGAAGGGCCTGCGGTCCCTGGTCAGAGACCACACGGCGAGGGAACTCAACGATTTTCTTTACCAGCCCTTATCACCCAGTTTCACAAGCCCAGGGTCTCCACCCCTGATGAAGTCTCCTTGATTACTCCTGTGGCCGCTCGTGTGTGGGGGTTGAGGATGCAGGGGCTGGGCTCCAAGCAGGTACCCAAACCAGCTTAGTTCTCCTCGACAGGCTAGTCTGAGTGGGGTGGCAACACAGGCCAGAACAAGAGGCCCAGCTTCCTTTTAGGAGATATGGAACCAGCGACCCACCTGGGCCCACTTTCTGGCAAGGAGAACGGCTTCCCTACTTACACACAGGCCGCTTCCTCTCGTTCCCAGCTCAGCCCCATGCTGCCGGGGGATGCAGCAACCTCACAGTTAACATAACGGCAGCGTGGAGGGTTGTGTGGGTGGATGTCGGAACTGGACACGGACAAAGCCTGCTCTCTGATTTCTCAAAGTTGCAGATCAAGCTTAATAGTGAACTCTGGCAAATTTCTGGGATGGATTATTAAATACAGGGTCCTAAGCAATCTGAAATGGAAGAGGCGGATCCCCGGGGCCAGCACTGTTTTAAATTCACAGCGTTTTCTTTTATGACAGGGCTATTAGCCTGGCATATGGAGGGAAAAACCTCACACGCAATGCAGCCTGAGTCAGCAAGGGTGCTGATGGCTTCTTACAAAGTCCTGTGGACAAGATGGAGCTGGGGGCTGGAGGAGAGCACCCTTAGGAAATATCAGAGCGAGCCAGAGAACAGCAGCACTCGGAGGGCACTGTGGGTTGATTTCAGTCGTGCACAGAGGTCTCCGGCAGGGCCCTGCACAGCTCACCCAGTGCTTGATTAGGAAGCTGGGGTATCCAATGGGAAGGCCCCCAAATGGTCTGCATGGCAGAATCAAGACCCACATGAGCTGAAAATCCAGGAAAGGTGAAACTGATAAAGAATGACTGTGAAGCTCAGTACTCAGGTTTAAAAAGCCAAGTGCACAAACACAGGGGACAGAGGTTGAGCAGGAGTTCAGGTGAAGGAGGACGTGACGACTTTGGTCACCTAGGCGCTAATGGCAGCCTGGATGAAGGAAGTGAGTCCCTGGAGCACACAGCACCATGTTCCTCTCCCACCCTCTTTCAACAAACAGGACGTCCATTCTCTTGGAGGCATGGCAGAGGAAGCAGAGCCCTGGATTCATGAGCTCATCTCCTGGACACCCCACTCACCCACAGCCATATCCCCTTCAAACCAGGTCCACATGTTAAGAGGACCATGAATAGCCTTCCGGGCTACAGGCTCTGCCTGAGTCACGGCTGCATCTCTAGCACCTGGGACAGCGCCTGACACAGACCACAACACAGCGGCTGGGTAAGTGAGGAGGTAACAAACGTCCAGAGGAGGGTGAGGAGCAAGGTGAGGAGTGAGAAGCTCATGTCATACAAGGTAAGCGAAGGACATTCGGTCTAAAGATGAGAGAACTTGGAGAATGCAACTCCCTTCCATTACCAGAAGACCTCAAGTGCTGTCAGGTGGGAAAGCAATCGTCACTGCAGAGAGTGGGGTGCATCAGAGTCCGTGGGGGGGGGGGGCAGTGTGTGTGACACAGATGCAGACCTCAGTGCTGCAGAGGAGAACGTCCTCGTAAACCACTGCCTGGCCTGGGAAGCCATCAGACTCCAGCCGGATGCCCACTGTCAGGGTGCTCCGGGGTGGATTCCTGTGAGGGACAGGACGGAAGACGAGATTCCCAGGGTTCTCCTCTCATCTAAGTAATGTCCTGCTTGTTGACAAAGGCCCCAGGCAGCCCGATCTCAGACCAAGGGTGAGAGAGGAGGTTTCAGCTGGTGGGTCACCTCTCCTGACTGGAAGGCAGTGTTGGGAAGGCCTGCGGGGCCACGTGGGGTGGGGACCAAGAGCCAGGACTGATCAGCAACATCCACTGTGAACAGGACGGTGCCAAGAGGGCGGCTTGTTTGTTCTTTATCTAGACCCCACGGCTCAGCTTCCAGGCTCATCCCTGCAGCTGCATCCCCACAGTGTCACCAGGACCCCAGCAGGGAGGGGCAGGCTCAGCGGGTCTGCTCAGAGCCTGGGGCAGAGAGGAATCAGGCAACACACTCCTGCTCCCAAGGAGGCAGACAACTGCCATGTCCCCAAGCCCGGGGGACAGCAGCAGTGTGGCCGTGGGCAGGTCACTTAACTGGTCCACGTCCCACCTTCTTCAGCTGAGAAGCAAGGCTGGTAACTTCCACATTGCAGAACTACCATAAAGGTCAAAGTCAGTGATGTATGTCTCATGACCCAGACAAGCCGACAAATCCCCAGAACACGGTCAACATCTGCCTGGACCACCCACAGGCTGGGTGGGATGAGGGGCCCCAGGCAGTGCTGAGTAGACCAGAGAAGAACATTCCAGACTCCAGACAAGGACACGACGCACTGCAAGGGAGCACGGTGGAGGGCAGAGGGCTCCTCTGCTGGGGCCTGGGGCGTGAGGCGGTCAAGGTCAACGAGGCCCCCAGGGGGCCAGGACAGCACCCGGGCTGCCTGTCCCATTACCTCCGAAGCTGAAGCTGATCCCTCCGACCCTCTGTGGAGATCACCTATGAAGCCAGGCAGGCCCGGGGCCCTCTTGGGGCTGCTGCTGCTCCCAGCATCACACCAGTCAGCTTTGGGTGGGGGGCAGGGGAAGACTCCCAGCCCTAACTGCTGCTCCCCTCCCTTCCCCTCCCTGGTGCCCCCCCACCCCCATCAGCCCTCTGAGCAGCTCTTGCTTTCCCCTGAATCTTCTCCACTTGGTGGGGTAATTAAGAACGATCTGCTAATTATGCAGGCCGCTGATTGAGGCCTCCTAACCCTGGGAGGCACCAGGTGCCAATCAGCAGGGAGGAGGGGAGCATGGAGGACAGGGAGAGGAAGGAGGAAGTGAGGAGGAAGAGACGGGAGGGGAGCTGGAGGGGGGAGGAAGAAAAGACAAGGGAAAGCTCTGCAGAGGGCAAGTGGTCAGGCTGGGGCCACCGAGAAGGGCCGTCTCTAAACCCACTGAATGTCACGCAGTCCACTCCACTCGTCCTGCAGCCCCTCTGCACGTCATCTAAGTCATGTGGAGCAGGTGACGTCTCTGGGTAGCTATTTTGGGGCTGGCATCTCCCAGGTGACGAGGGGCAGGTGAGGGCGGGAGGTCTGCCAGGCAGGACAGGCTGGGGAGGGGCTGTGAGGAGCAGTCCAGGCGCCAGCAAGGTCCTTGTCATTCTCTCTAGCTCTGCAGACTCGGCTGCGGCAGAGTGGGAGCAGGACCCGGCTCAGAATGCTAATATCCCATGAGTTCACCTGCCTACAGAGCTGGGCACGGGCTCCAGGGCAGCCGAGGGCTGGGCCTGGGCGGGAGGGGAGGACAGGGGAGGGCAGGGGAGGGGAGGGGACGGGAGGGGGGAAGGGAGGGGAGGGGAGGGGAGGGGAAGGGAGGGGAGGGGAGGACAGGGGAGGAGAAGGGAGGACAGGGGAGGGGGCTCTTCTCTGCAAGAGGAGTACATTCAAGGGGAGTGAGTCCAAGCTGGGGTCACATCCCTACTGCAAAAGCCCATAAGGACAGAAGAGCCTCAGGCCCGTAGGCGGCTGGGGGGAGGGGGGAGGGCTCAGCGCCCCCGCCCCTGTCATCCCTGGCCCCTCCCTCCCCTCCGACCCGTTCCTAATCTGTCACCATGTCCAGTCGCCGTTCCCTCTGAAGCGTCTCTTACCCGCCCGCCCTGCACGGCAGCCCCCTTCTTGGCCCCTGTGCAGCTGCCTGATGACCCCTCCCCAGCTCTTTGTCCCATCACTTCCTGTTCCCAAAACCCTGGGCTCGAGCTCAAGGCCCAGGCCAGCTGGGAGAAGCGCTCACGGCCCTGATGTGGCCTTGGTCTCCCCTCATGCGCTCCTCCCACCAGGGACTGCCCAGCGCTGTGGGGACAGTGGCCTCTGGGGGGGTGCTCAGGCCGTGGGCCGCACTCCCCGCCCTTCAGCAGAACCTGCCCCGTGTGGACCCCCTTCAGGAGGCCTTCCCTGACCCGGGGGCAGGCAGTCACGTTCCTCTCACCATCTGCTCCCCCATTTCATCACAGCCAGTCTCCACTGGGGATGCTGCTTCCACAGGCCTGGTCCCCACATTTCGGGTTGAACCCTAGGGCTGGGGGTTAGGCATGTGACTGCCGTGTCATCCCCACCCTGCCCCAGCCTTGGCTCTGGGACCGCCATGAGGCTGGGGCTTCTGGGGAGGCGCTCCTTCCTGCTGGACCTGAGCTGTAGGCTCACTGGTCACCTTGCCAGAGCGAGGCCTGTCTGGGAGTGGGGCCAACCCAGAGGCAGCAAGCAGGGACGGATGAAAGCAAACCAGTTCCTCACATCACCTTGCGGCTCCACAGCCTGCTCTGCCGACTGGTTACTTTTGCTTCAGTTGATTTGGGGAATCTAACTGATAAATGTGCTGCCAAATCTTGCTTCTCTCTCCTCTGGATCCCCAGGCGCCCACACAGTGCACGCTATGTGGCTATGACTCAGCTCAGATGGCGGCTCTCCCCTCCGAGACGATGCCGCCCCTGAGCACAGGGACCATGTGGCCGAGCATCATCGGCATCCCTCGGTCCCGAATGCTGGGTGTCTGCTGGAGAGGGGCAGGGGCACCTGGAAGCCGGCTGTTTAGGGGAGCATCCTGCCAGCCCTGGGCCTCAACAAGCCCACCACCCCTCCCGGTGAGATGGCCTTCCTGCCCTCTGCTCCCATCCAGGAGCAGAGGAACCTGGAAGTGTCTACAGGAAGGAAAAGAAAAGCATGCTCAGAATCCAATGCTCCCCTTACAGATAGGCAGGCCTGTGGTCACGGTCCTGGTGTGGAAACACAAATATCTGACGGACTGTTTCATCACGAGGTGTGGGGTGACCGGAATCTGGCACTAGTGGCTTTTAAAGGTCTGTGTTCTCTTGCTTAGGTGACCCCTGGATATATTTAGCACCTAACACTTTCTATAACTAGGGACAGCAGGTAATGGAGGGCTAGCATAGGTGGCAAATGAGCAGAGATGATGTCCCTAGATAACAAGAGGGAACATTTACTGGATGCTTACTACACACCAGGCACTTCGGTTCCTTTCTAAGTTTTAATTCATTTCATCTTAACAACGATCCTCTGAGGAAAGCACCATTATCACTGCCATTTTATGGATGGGAACACTGAGGCTTTATAGGGAGGTTAAGAGCAAGTAAATGGGGAAGCCAGATTGGAGCCGGAAGTCCGCTCCAGAGTCAACCCCCTTAACTACGTCACGGCCCCGCCCTCGGTTACATTCACACCCTGGAGAGGCCTGGGGCAGCCAGGTGCATTAGAGGGCAGCTCAGAGGCAGAGGAGTCAAGTGGATCTAACGTTGGGATTGTCCATCTGGAGACAATGGCCCCATTTTCTGCCCCCACTGGGGAAGGCTTCTGGGAAGAGGTGGGGTTCCAACTGGTGGAGGAAGAGACTGCACGTTGCAGCAGTGGGGGTTCCTGGTCTGGCATACGAGCAGGGGACAGTGGGGGAGACTTGGCCAGGAGAAGGACCTGAGTCAGGCAGTCAAATACTCCAGCCGGGGACGCATGGTGGGGTCATCCAGCGAGAAGTGCCAGCCCATCTTAGCTTGCTCATGGCCAGAGAAATAGGACCTTACACAGGACAAAACCAGGGAACCTTCGCAGAAAACAGCAACCACCGCTCACACACGTTCAATCAACATTGAGTGAAAAATCATCAGAGCCAGAGAGCTGAGCTGGATCAGCACTGGGGTACAAACAGCCACCACTCCCCACCCGGAATCGCTGAGGATCCAAGGCCATCTTGCCAGCCTCACGAAGCCCCTTGCTCCAGCCACACTGGCTTCCACTCAGGCCCCTCTCCACTTTAGCTCATGCCCTTCCTCCTTTCTTGAAGGTTTTTCTCCCAACCTACCCACTCACGATACCTCCCCTTCCACCAGTCCGGCTTTTCCTCACATATGTCTTCCCTGACCCTGCAGACAAAGTCAGGCCTCTTATCACAGAGACAGGGTAATTCCAGAGCCTGGAGCCCCTACACCTGGGTGTGACGCCTAGTTCCACGGCTCAGGCAAGTCTCCTGACCCTTCTGCCAGAGTTTCCTCATTGACAAAGTGGAAATAACAGAACCTCAAACAAAAAGTTGTTGAGGGACTTCTCTGGTGGTCCAGGGGCTAAGACTTTGCGCTCCCAGTGCAGAGGGTCTGAGTTCGATCCCTGGTCAGAGAACTAGATCCCACATGCTGCAACTGACCCAGCGCAGCCAAATAAATAAATACATATTAAAAAAAAACAAAAACTGTTGAGAGTATTGAATGAGTGAACACACTCAGGTCAAGGGTGGCACACGGTTAATGTGATACAAATATTAGGTGTTACAAAATAGTAGAGATTGGTTTTCTCACAACTGTAACTAACACACAACTAATCACTTAGAGTCTGTCTCTACTGCTGTAGTGGACCCTCCAGCTGGGCAAGGATGCTGTCCTATTAAAGGGCCCAGAGCCTTGCACACAAGAAATGTTGGATAACCAACCATGGGCTGACTGGGGGAACAGGCGAAGGAACAGGGCCCCCCAGCAAGGGAAGAGCAGTTGGGAGAGTCATACCACCGCCAGGGCCCGTGGATGCATGGGGAAACCCAGGGCTAAGCAAGACGGTTAAGAGTGAGCACTTACAAGAAAAAGTTCTAAGCGGGGCACCCAGCTTGGCCCCCTGGGCACAGGGAAGCCGGCTGGGTCCCCTTGCGGACCGAGAGTCACCACAGAGGTGCTCCGAGAGAGTGCCTTTGGGACTGGAGAGACGACTGCCTGGGCCAGGGAGCAGCACCCACCTGCTGAAGATGTCTCCGGAGACCTTCTGTAGGTACTGCAGGGCATCCGCCACCTGCTGGATGGCCTCCTCTCGCCGCAGGTCTGGCTGAATGAGGGGCACTGCGTAGGTCTGACCGGCCAACGAATGCTGGGTCCCCGTGGGGGTCATGGTGCCTAGGGGAGGGAAGGGAGCATCAGGATCCTCCCATACTTGCCCACACCCACCCGGCACAGGGCCAGGTGCTGGGAAAAGAGCATGCACGCAGCCCCCCATCCCAACGGTCTGCACGGCTTCAGCCTGGGTGGCAGTCAGGGGCTCCCAGGGGCTGCTGTTCTGGCAGTGCTGGTTGAGGGAACAAGGGAGACTGTAAGGACCAGAGACTGACACAAAGCCTTCAGAGGGCAATGACTGGCTGCCACAAGGTGGGTGGAGGTGCCCGGCTAGGTGCCCCTGCCCTACCTCATCTCACCTCAACCTCCCAAGCCTGGATGAACAACAAAGAAACCGTGGCTGGGAGTGAAAAAGAGGGATGGGTTGCAGGGGAGTGGGGAATTGCCTGTGTCTACTGCCGGGTACTAGCAAGAGGTACCGGTTCTGCAAAAGCACAGAAAATATGAACTCTGGGTTCTTCCCCTTCTGGTCCCTGGGACCTGCTCCCAGGAAAGGACAGGCAATGGCAGGAGGCAGGGATGTCCGGGCTCTGCTCTCCCAGACTTGAGCTGGGTGTGGGGTGGGGGTAGGCAGGAGGAAGGAGGGACACATGGGGGTGGACAGGAAGGAAAAACCCTCCTTCGAACTGCAAGAGGAGGGCAGAGTCAGTCTATTTATACTGGCTTTAATTAACTCCGCTCCCTGGTGCCACCAAAGCAGCAATCACACTGCAGACGGCACTGATGTGATTGGCAAGAGAGGCAGCGGGCAGAATATTAAGGCACCAAGCCCCTATAAATAGGCCTAATCATGGCCCCTCGGTAGAAGACCGTGAAGAAGACATTAATCAGGCCTGGCACTGTGCCCCAGACCTGCTCTCCTAGGTGGCAACAGAAGTGTGGGTGGGACTGGGTAAGTAAGGCCAGGGTAGGTTTAGAAGGTTTTGTTTGAGCTTCAAGTGCTATGTGACCTGGGGTAAGTTACTTGCCTTCTCTGAATCTGATTCTTTCCACTTCTCATCCTACAGACTGAGAATGGCATTGCCCTCTGAGAAGTGGTTATCCTCAGGGCTTCACACCAATATCCTCACCACGCTGAAGCTTACTCCTCGCCCTCTGCTGGCTTCCCCTACTCTTCCTTCCACCCAGCTTGTTCTCTCCTACTCTTCCCAGGCCAGCACTCTTCCTGGTCTGAGATGACCAGGCTGCTCTCCAAGCTTTTCTCCAGCGATGAACATCTCAGCTTCCTACACCTGAGCCTGCCTAGCACCCTCATAAGGATTAACTCATCCCCAGGATTAACTTACACCCTCATTGGAGTAACTCCTCACCTCCCCACCTCTCCTCCCACCATCAAGCGACCAAAGTGGAGCCAACTGATCCCAAACCATCCCCAGCCCTGCTCCTCTTTGCATTTACACTGACGCAGCTCTGCTGGGCATCCTAGCTTAGTTCAGTACCTCAGTTTTCCCACCTGTAAAACAGAGAGGGAGGAAAAGGCAGAAAGAAGGTAGTTCCTGTGCTCATCTTGAGATGCACTGCTCAGGGTCAGTCACCCACCCAATGTGTGTCTGTCCACGCACCAGGGGGTGGAACAGGCACGAAGCCCCCAGGCAAGGAAACAGCAGGTCTGTCCAAGAACTGAGAGCCTGAGTACAGGTGTCCAGAGCTTTTACTCATTCTGTCTGCTAACAAGGGCTGATCAACTATCAGGTACCAGCCATGATCACAACGAAGAAGAATACGACGCTATGCAGGCTGTGAAGACAGCCTGGAAAACAATTAAACAGCAGGTGTTAATGCTCAAATCAAGCTGTGAACCCAGTGCTAGGGGACACTGAGGAAGGAGCAAGTGACAAACCCCTGCTGGGGTCAGGGAGTCTGGAAAAGCTCTTGGCAGAAGCTGTGCCTCCCTACCAGGCCTGGGAGAGAGGGCAGGGAGAGCACCTCGGAGAGAAGGGACAGCTGAACAAAGGTGTGTCGGGAAGGGCAAGTGGTTTGGGCAGTGAAGATAAAACCATCCTTGGAGGAGGAGCAGAAAAAGACAGTGGCCAGACTGAAAAACACCGATGGCAAGGAGTACGACCTGAGCCTGAAGGCCGGGAATGAGAGCCTCAGACCTGCCACCTGCTATGGGGGCCACAAGCTACGGGGCTCCTGAGCACCTGAAATAAATGGAGCTCGTCTGAATGCAGGTGGAGTCTAAGTGTAAAATACACACAGAATTTCACACTTCCTACCAAAGCGAAGAAAATATCTCATTAAAAATTTAAATACTGACGACACCGTTGAAAAGACCGTACTTTAAATACAGTGGGCTAAGTGTATTACTAAGTTAATTTCGCTCTTCCCTTTTAAAGTCACGCATGTACCTGGTAGCTAGCACAGTAATTTTTTTCTGGACGGCGGGGCGCTACCTCAGACTCTATGGCTTAAGAGAATCCTGGTAAACACTGTGGATCCTCATAGGAGAGTGAACATACAGCAAACCGACTCTCACAAGTTCTGCTTATACAATAAATTTGCAAGTGTCGGGATCCCGACACCCACACCAGGGGCGGGCAGGAACCCAGGCAGGGTTATAATGGTGTGGGGTCAACCCGGGGCCTGGAGGGATGGCCACAAAGGGAGGGTTCCGAGAGCCAGGCCGGTGCTGGGCAGGCCCGCGGGGCGGGAGCCGGCCAGGGTCCCCCGGGGCCCCGGGTCGGGGGTGGGGTGGCGGGCGAGGACGCCTACAGAGGCCCAGTCCGGACCCACGGCCAGTCGGCGTCAGAGGCGGAAGTCACCCGGCCCGGGCCTCCCGGCCGGCGTCCCCCGAAGCCGCTCCCACCTTCACCCGTCCCCTCGGAGACCCGCCCCTACCTCCCGCTCTCCAGTCCCGTCTTCCCAGCCAGGCCCGCGCCCTCACCTGCTTTACGCCCGCCGCTTCCGCGACGCGCCGGGGCCCGTCGCAGCCCGCTCCGCCTCCCTGGTGATCCCGGCCCGGAGCTCCGGCCCCGCCTCCAGCCGTCAGTTCCGCCGGCTCCGCGCTGCGGCTCTGGGCCACCGGCAGCCGCCGTCCCCCCAGCACGGCCTTGCCCCGCGGCCAGACGCGACCCCCACGCAGCCCCACCCCCGTGCCCTCTGCCCCCTCTCCCCGCGCAGCCGCTCCCTTCTCCGCGCGGCCCCGCCCCCCGCCCCGCTCCACCCACTTCTCCTCTGTGATGCGCTTGATTGTGCCCCTCTTTGCCCGGGTTTTCTGGGCTTGGCCTCTGCGGACCGAGCTCCCCAGAGTCCGCCCAGAGTCCGCCCAGTGCCCGCCCTCCCTTAGATAGTAAATGTCAGACACAGAAGGACAAACGCGCTGTGCGAGGTGCCCCGTGGCCGCCAGATCCAAACAGAACCAGAGCGGTGGTTGCGGTGGAAGCGTTATGGTTTAATGGGTTCAGAGCTCCTGACAACCTCTCCTGGACCACACTTTAGTCAGGCTTCTTTGAATCCTCTTCCCAACTAGGCCTCCACTTGCGTAGCCCAGTTTTAGCAAGAATCCTGTCACTCGATTTAGCCGGAAACCTCCGCCCTCTTATCTGGCCAAATTCCTTCCTCCCTTACCTGCCACTTGCCCCCCATCCCTGTCCCCAGGTGATGTCCTATCCCTCACCTGCCCGCCTGCGGCAAGAATCCTAGCCTAGAATTACTCATAGCTCTTAAGTAATTTTCTATCCATCCCATCCCCTACCCTACTGTTTGTCCAGAAGTCCCCACTTGTCTGCTGTATTTGGAATTGACCCCGGGTCTCTAATGACCTCTCTTTTCCCCTGTTGCCAAGTCCCGAATAAAATCTGCTTTTACCACTTTAATGACTGTGTGACTCTGGTTTCCTTTCACATGTCGGTTTGGGACGATGACAGAGTTCTGGATATTTCTGATGGCTGCACGACGAGGTGAATGTATGTAATGCCACTGCACTGTACATTGAGAAATGGTTAAAATGGTAGATTTTATGATATGTCTTTGTTTTGACAAGAAAAAAGGCCTTATTTAAAGACTTAAAAAGTTAAATACATAAAAGCAGCATCAGTGCAAAGATCCTGTAATAGTCCCTCCTGGGGTCCGTTGACTTGCCTCAGAATTCTCATCCCCTCTCTTTTAGAGTTGCCAGATGAAAACAGAAGATGCCAAGGTCATTTGAATTTCAGACGAAAAACAAAAGTTTTTTTATTTTTATTTTTAGTACAAGTATGTCCCAAACTAAGCATGGGGCATGCTTACATTAAAAAAAAATAATTTTTGTTTATTTGAAATTCAGGATTAAGTGTTTCATATATTTTTTTGCTGGACCTGGCACAATTTTCTCTCTACTCTTTTCCAATTACTCTCAGAATTTTGTCCTCCTTCCCTACCCATCTCTGGGAGAAAGTTAGGATGAGATGTCTTTTTTGCTGCTGCTGCTGCTGCTAAGTCGCTTCAGTCGTGTCCGACTCTGTGCGACCCCATAGACGGCAGCCCACCAGGCTCCGCTGTCCCTGGGATTCTCCAGGCAAGAACACTGGAGTGGGTTGCCATTTCCTTCTCCAACGCGTGAAAGTGAAAAGTGAAAGTGAAGTCGCTCAGTCGTGTCCAACCCCAATGATTTGCAGGCTGCAGCATACTGTTCCCACCAATGATGGGAAAGAGATGGGTTTGCACCTGTATTATAGACCAAATGTGCAGCCGCTCCAATACATTAACACCCTAACCCCCAAGGTGACAGCATTTGGGCCGGGCCTTTGGGAGGTAATTTGGGGCAGATGAGGTCAGGAGAGTGGGGCTCTCATGAGGGGAGACAGCCCTGACAAGAAGAGATACTCTGTCTCTCTGCAACACTAAGGACACAGACAAAAGGGAAAAGGGCTCTCTCCAAGAACCAAACCAGCCTTGATCAAACCGGTACCTTGATCTTGGTCTTTGGAACCTCCGGAACTGTGAAAAATAAATTTAAGCTGTTTAAGCCACTCTATGGTATCTTGTTTTTGATTAAACAATCTGCAAGCTCATTTC